TTCCTTCCTTCCTTCCTTCCTTCCTTCCTTCCTTCCTTCCTTCCTTCCTTCCTTCCTTTCTTTCTTTTTTTCATCTGTATGCCTGGAAGTGATGCTAGAACCACTTAAGATCCCATTCACCTAAGCATTTATTAAGCTGGGCTTTGAAGGTACAAGTAACCCTTGGCAACAAATATACTTTCTTCACTTAACACAGGGGAAAGTACTTAGTGCATGAATTTTCTGAGTCTCTGGCAGCGTGTAGTACTTGGATATGTTTTAATTTCATACAGCTTGAACTTGGCCTGCCAGAGACTACACAGAAGGATAAAAGTGGCAAATGAGAAAGCAAGGAGCCCTTAAATTAATTTGTTGGCTTTGACAGAAACAGCATGAGGTTTATGAGAAACATAGTTTGATAGGTAAATAGAACCATGTGCTGGTGGCCAAGGAAGCAAATATTACATGTAACATCAGTTGCAGTCATTTAAATCATGTTATTTTATAACAGCCCTATTTTTCTCTGCTTGCTGTTGCAGTATAGTTTATTAAAAAATTTTAGAAGGAAGCAAACTCATTCTGTTGCCTTTTTGTTTTCAGAGCCCAGAGATCTACTTATGAATAGTGGCAGTCCATAAATACGTGATTGGGTTGAGTGCCTTTTCACTCTCTGGAATGAATTCCTTTTAAATACAAACCAAGACTTCATGCACATGGTTTAAAAATCATTTTATCTTTTTGTTCAGGCTTAAAGAATTTCCTTATCTTTCTTTATTGCTATATTTTTTTTTGTCAAGCTTTTTTTTTTTTAAAGGAAATATGACTACAGCAGAGCTTATATATGAACTAACAGTAGACTTAAGTTCGTAGGTTCCTAATTAATGGTGTTTCATGATAACGCCTTGAAAAGTATAAAAGGGATTAGCTTTGAGGTATGATTGAAGTAGTGTGGTTTATCTGACCCAAGTGTCTTCTGTTCCTCTTTACAGGTAATGTTGAAATCAGGCACCAACATACTTTACTGGAGAACTACTGGCATCCTTATGGGTTCTAAGGCAGTCAAGCCGGTTTTGGTAAAAAATATCACAATTGAAGGTATTGCACAGCAATTTTTTTTAGTAGTCACATATCAGAATTTGGAGCTTGTTAAAACATTTATTAAATTGTTGGTTTGGGTGGCTCAGGGTTTATGGGGCAGGAATTAATACGTTAGGCATTGTACATGTCTAGAGATCCTGGTTTTAATTTTGGCAAGTTGACTGGCTTTTTTTTTTTTTTTTTGTACACTTAAACTAAATTAATTGAATCTGTGTGAAAAAGAAAGCATGATACAATTTCAGTGTCTCTACATAAAATAAAAGGATCCTTGTTAATAAAACACTATTCCTCATTCAAGAAATGTCTATTGTACCAGACATTGAGCCCGCCCAGGTCACTGTAAAAGCCACAGAAATAGAAATAAAATAAACTCTTTCTGTCTCCTGAACCTCTTTTGCCTCTCTGAACCAGCCAGGCATTTGCTGGCCCAGGAGAGCCGGCAATAAACCCTGGCAAGGTTCATTCTCAATTAGGGCTACTTTTAATTAAACCAGTCATTCTCCTTTATTAATGGCTTATATTTTACTACGTTCATACTGGTTCCTGTGACACTAACTCATTAGTCATAGGGACATCTGCTGGCAAAGGCTGGAATTACAAGCCAGAGGAAAAGGCCATTTGTGCCAGGGTCGGCTAGGTCAGAGGGAGCCGAGTTGTCTTTTGACTATTCAGTTTATAATTTTGTATACCTCTGTCACATCTCACCCTCTTGTTAAAGTGTTTGCTCTCCTTAGGATGTTTAATCTATCCCAGTGTTTTGCACACAGTAAATGCTTCCTTGGTGTTGCGTGGATGGGATAAAGGATCCTGGCTGACTACTACTGTTTCTCTCACTTCTGATAGAAGCAGCAAGAAGGCGCTGATGTGCGTGTTGTTGGTGGGTCCTCCCTCCCATGTTCTGTTTTTCATTACCACACAGGGGTGGCATACACGTCAGAATGCTTCCCGTGCAAGCCGGGCACATTTAGCAACAAACCAGGTTCGTTCAACTGCCAAGTCTGTCCCAGAAACACCTACTCTGAGAAAGGAGCCAAAGAATGCATAAAGTGTGATGAGCACTCCCAGTTTTCGGGTAAGACCAGGCTTTGCCAGCTTATGCTCTTTGTTCTTCTCTCTCTAAATTTATGTTTGTTGAGAGTGTAGTGTCTTTAGCCAGAAGTCACACACCAAATGGGGTGGGAAGAGTGTGTCAGAAACCAAGTGTTGAAGGGAATCAGTATTGAATGGAGAAAATACGACTTCTTCTTACCCCTTAGTGCGTGACTTTTCCATTTATCACTTTTTCTGTTCCACACTCCACAGGGATCTATTTCTCCCCGTGCTTTGGTTATATGTACATTAATCTAAAAAAAAAAATCATAGTGTAATTTTACATGATTGGTTGGCATAGACATGTGCTTGGAAAATTTCCATTTATTTCAAATTTACAATGTTCAGTGATAATGGAAAAAATCAATGTCTTATTGGAAAAAATTATGGTATGTTTCTTGTGTATTATGGGAACATTTGTTGCTCTAGGGTAAATAAAAATGCAGGCTTTTATTTTCCTGAGGCCTAGCTAGTTCTTCCTAAATTCATCTGGTGTAAGGTTATTTTAAATTTTTAGTTGTCTGGGTTTTTTTGTTTGTTCTGATTTTTTGCCTTTTTCGAGAGTCACAACATAAATGATTCATTTCTGAAATGCGTTTTTGTGTTGCAGAGGAAGGATCCAGCCAGTGTGTGGAGCGACCTCCCTGCACCACAAAAGACTATTTCCAGATCCATACTCCGTGTGATGAGGCAGGAAAGGTACAGGCTGTGTTCAGTCCACTGCATTCCCTGGTAATCCAACCTTCTTCCCAATTGGAGCAGCCTCCAGTTGGTTCCTGAGACACTTAAATGAGTTGATTTATAATGCATGTCTGTAAGTAGGACGGAGGAAGTCTAAGAATGTAGATTCTCAAGCTTGCTGCCCTGCTTTGATTTTACACTAGTACTTATTAGTGCTGTGGGCCTTTTATTTGCTCTAAGTCTGCTTTTTCATCTGTAAAATGGGGCTAATATCACGTCTTACTTCACAAAGCTGTACTGAGAACGTAAGACACCCTCCGGCTGCGGGTCCTGGTGTTGTGTCTGTCCTAGAGCGAGTGCCCCTAAAGGACTGCTATTTTAACACTAAATTTTTTAAAAGATTTTATTTATTTATTTGACACAGAGAGAGAGAGACACAGTGAGAGAGGGAACACAAACAGGGAGAGGGAGAAGCAGGCTTCCCACTGAGCAGGGTGTGGGGCTTGATCCCAGGACCCTGGGATCAGGCACGATCTGAGCCAAAAGCAGATGCTTAATGACTGAGCCACCCAGGCGCCTCGACACCTAATATATTTTTTTTTTTTTCAAAAATAATTGGATCAGGAGGAGCGCAGCCCTAAAATGTGTACTGTGACTCACAGGATGGAAATATCCTGAAACTTCTCTTTAATTATTTGTTTCCTCAGTCGGTTTGATCAGTAAGAGCCATGCAGCCATAGGCAAATTCAGTTATGGCCGATGACGTTGTAATTGCGTTTAGAAAATGCAGAGTAATTACCATACAGATGGCACTTTGCCAGAGGAAAAATGCACACACGAACCCTGCGGTTGATGTGGCATTTTCTGTCTTACAGTGAGCCTGTAAAGTGTATGTCAGTAGAGAAACTGAGATTCAAGTGGCTGCCAGGGCATCCGAGGTGCCCAGCCGGTTAAGCCCTGCACTCGGGTTTCTCCTCAGGTCATGATCTCAGGGTTGTGATCGAGCCCCAGCGCCCGACTCTGTGCTCCGAGCAGTTTGCTTCAGGTTCTTTCCCCCCTCCCCCTTTCCCTCTCTGCTCACGCTCTTCCTTTCTGTCTCTTTCTCTCAAAGGAATAAATAAAATCTTTAAAAAAGTAGCTGGAATGCAGCACTCCCTCCTTGCGTTTACATCTTTTATATCATGGCATTTAATTTCTTGACCTAGTTTGGAGATATATGTACATGTCAGTATTGCTTTTCTTTTCTTAATTTTGTATCCTTAAGTTCTAAGCTGTACTTTTTATATTTGTGTGATTATTAATCTCATCTTTAGTCCTCAAATTATTTTTAGGAATTGTCTTTTGAGTACTTAAGACCAAGCTCATTCTAGTATTTGCAGGAGAGCCATTACTTACTCAGAATAATTCTACTTAGAATAATTCAGAGGAAGGACAGTTTAAATTAGTGGAAAATTTTAATAATTAGAAGTATATGTATTATTTTTAATAAGAACAGTAACTCAAACAGTCATTAAATTAGAAGGAGTTTTGAAGTAAGATCTCAATGGTCCTATAATAATGGCCAAGGAAGGATTATTTCCATTTAGAAAATACATGTGGAGAGCCACTAAGATGAGTTACAGTTCTTTACCTAAACGTTTTTTAGTTAAACTTGTCTTATTAATAAGTAGGGCAAATTGAATTTGTTTTATTCTCTATACTAATCACTAATTGAGCATCACTGAAGCTTAAATCAATGAGATCTAATATACAAATGGTTCTTGTCTTTGCTGTGGTGAAAATATTCAAAAGTCCTATTTTTATTTTGTCCGTAAGTAGTTTATTACATCAGTGAGTAGTGTGATAAAATGTAGTTGACCTGGGCCTAAAGGGAGTAAAACCATGCATTAAATGTAGAATGTACAGAATACACACACAGGCGCACGCGTGTGCGCGCACACACACACACACACACCTGTGTACACGTAAGCACCCACAGGCATTTTGTGTTCACATGTACACACAAACTACATTTTCCTATTGAGTCTAGGTGAACTCTGAACACGTTCTCAGTATAGAACACATTGCACTTGATCTCCATCAACTCAGTGATTCTTTAAAAAGTGATTTAAGACTTTTTTCAAGAGAGATGTGTCTAGCTTCAGGAGTTAAAAAAAAAAACAATAGAAGCTTAATTAACTGATACAGTAGAGAAATGTAGATTATAGATGGGAATTTTAATCTTTTTTCTATTTCTGTTGGTTTCAACCTTTTCATGTGTTCTGGTTTCCTCTTTTAAAAAGATATTTTATTCTTGCTTGGCCCAGCCTGATGATTTGCTGGTGGCTTAGTGATGTTTTCAGGTCATTCTATGACTGTGGCTCCTTTTGTCCTGTCATTCTCTCTTTGATGTTATTTTCCCCTTGCTTGGACAGCATCCTCAAGGGAAGCAACTACTGAGGTTGACAGACTTTGAACATAATCATGTATATGCCACAGGACTGGTACAGGTTTCTCTGTTCATTTGAAGCTCAGGTATTTGATTGCTTCCCCTCCTATAGGGAACATTTTTCAGAAGTATTTTAATTAGTAACGGAAACCCTTCTAATCCTGGTTGAGAGACTTTCATTAACATCATGAAAATTGCGGTGTTTCTGCTCACTCATTCATTTATTCAGTGAGTCTTCCTTGAGCACTGGTTATGTTACAGAGTGCTGGGTGATGAGGGCAGAACCAAGGAGAGGCAGAAGAAGGCAACTGTCTTCATGGAGGGTAGAGCGGTAGTTGCCAATTTTTTGTTTGCAGCAGACGCCCCTGGTGGTTCCTGTCCTCAGTTTTCTGTTTCAGTAGATCTGGGGCAGGGCCTGAAAATTGATATTGCTCAGAAGTTCCCAGGTAATTCTGATTCTGCTGCTCTAGGATCTCACCAATTTGAGAACAAGTGGTCTGGATTTCAGAGGAAGAGATGGTCTGTCAAAAGAAAAGAAATTATTTCCAGCTCTAGATTAGTGCCACAGCAGAGAAGTCTCAAGTTTTATGGGGATTGGACCCAGTCTGGGAAGGCTTCAGAACTGTATGAACTCTTGGCCAAGGTGTGGAAGAAGAGCTTTTCTGGGAAAGGAGCAGGATGGTGATGATCTGATGTGGGAAGGAGCATGGTAGAGCTGAAGAGCTAGTAGGGTCTGAGTGTGACTGGACTGTGGGGGGGTCGAGGGGGTGGCATTAGCTGCATCTAATGACACAGACTCATGCTAGAATGGGGAGGTTTTGTAGTGGTGAGTCACCTTGAAATTTTTGAGTATGTTTTCAAAATGTTCAGAGCCCACTTTCTACATAAAATGAGATACACTCATATGGATGCATACACATGCACAGATTCAGTGCTTGACATTTGAGCTAAAAATATCTTGACCTCGGGGAGCCTGGGTGGCTCAGTCAGTTAAGCATCTGCCTTTAGCTGAAGTCATGATGCCACAGTCCTGGGATTGAGCTCTGCATTGGGCTCCTTGTTCAGCGAGGGAGTCTGCTTCTCCCTCTGCCTGTCGTTCCCCCTGCTTTTAAAATCTTAAACTTTTAAATTTTAATTTATGCTCTTAAAATCTTTAAAAAATTTTGACCTCGTTAATGGCCACGTAGTCATCAAGAGAAGGCATCTTTTGATGTTAGCACCATATTTGATAGAGCCTCTCATGATCTCCGTACAGCTAAGATAGAGAACTGTGGACTAAATGATATGGTTAAGAGGATATATGTCTAATTGAGAAACTATATGTAAAATATTTGACTTAATAAATGGATATATCAGTGAGGAATGTAGTTGATATTAACTAGTAGTATAGTTGGTATCATGTATTTGTTACAAGAATATAAATTCAATAACATAATTATGCATATCCTAAGTCATACCATGAAGAATATGAGGACACATGAGTACAATCAATATTTGATTTAAAAATCCTCACCTTGCTTGAGGATATTGGGAATAAGTATGTTAAATTGTACAGCAATAATGCTGGGGAGAATGACAGAAGTAAAATTTAGAGACCCCAATGTGCTAGCACATTGAGCTCAAATTAGGGAAGTCAACATTTATTTTCGTCAAAGTGTCAGGTATAGAAGAATTCAGAAAAGAGAAAACATTAACTTGACAAAAACATTTTGAAGAGAATCTAAGCTTTAGAACCTGGCTTACCAAGTAAAACAATACAACAGAGATTTATTTATTTATTTATTTATTTTAAAAGATTTTATTTATTTGACAGAGAGAGATCACAAGTAGGCAGAGAGAGAGAGAGAGAGAGAGAGAGAGAGAAGCAGGCTCCCTACTGAGCAGAGAGCCCAATGTGGGGCTCGATCCCAGGACCCCCAAGATCATGACCTGAGCCGAAAGCAGAGGCTTTAACCCACTGAGCCACCAAGGCGCCCCAATGCAACAGACATTTAAAGAGGGAAAAAACCTCCCAAGAGTACAAAGGATACTTATCTTTAATTAAGAGGGTTCAAGGCTAAAAAACAAGTTGCTCATTTGTTTATCATATCCACAAAGGTTGTCTTAGATCTGCTTGCGGAAGTTAGAGGGATAAGGCAGTTTTGTCAGGGCATCTGCCACGTATAGACAAGGCTTAAGCTTTTATTTATTTTGGGTACAAGAACTCCATAGAAGTAGTAACATTCATACATACATACATACATACATTTATCTATCTATCTATCTGTCTTTTATCTCAGGGAGAAAAGTAATTCCCTCTCCTGCCCTGACTGTGGACAAATAAAAATTATTATTTTTATTATTATGTTCAATTAGCCAGCATATAGTACATCATTAGTTTTTGATGCAGTGTTCATCGATTCATTAGTTGCATATAACACCCAGTGCTCATCCCAACACGCGCCCTCCTTAATACCCATCGCCTTGTTACCCGTCTCCCCAGCCCCCAACCATTCTTCCAGGGGTGTGGGATACTCTGGTCCAACAGCTTCATTCACCAGCTGAGCCCTACGGCTGGGCTGCCAGACTCTGTTAACTCCTTATTCCTGTCAGTGTCACACAAATCAGTTCCTAAAGGGGAAAAGATGGTGTCGGTTACCACAGTAAAAAGAGACTGATTCTGTGCTGGTTCACAGAACTTGCCTACTCTTAAAAAACATGAATAGATCTGCCAAAGTTGTCTTGATGCTGGGAATTCCCACAGAATTTTTGGCACGCCTCTCCTGATATTTTCAGAGTGGTCATAGGTTTGCTAGTGTTTTGGTATCAGATCACTGTTGCAGATACAGTTCTTGTAAAGATGACCAGGATCTCAGCTTCCTGTAGACAGAAACACATTCTTAATCACTTAAAAAAAAAAAAAAATCTGTAAGCTTAATAGAGTACCCGGAACACAGAAGGTAATGAAGCATCTTTTGAATAAATTAATGAATGAGAAAGTTAGTGAGTGAATGTAAACATATTTAGAGAATTGTGTTTTGTCCTTCGCAGAAGGCTTGAGAAAATTTTGACAAACTGGGCAGAATTTAGAGAAGAGAGACCAGGATATTAAACTATTTGATATGAAATATGGTTGAAGTTGCTGGTAATTTGTTTTCAGGTTGGGGAAAAGACCACAGGATGGAAGAATTTGGATCATATTTCTTACATGTTCTACTTGTCCCAAAGAGATTTGATCTCTTCTCTGTGAATATCCATGACATTTCATATTTCTCTTCAAACTGATGATGGTGACCATAATTATGGAAATAGTAGTGACGGTATCAGTAGCAGAATCATCTGTCACTTACGTAATTGTGTGCACCCTCACTGTGTGTGTGCTTGTGTATGCAGACATGGCCTCTAATTCTTTTTTTCAATAGCTGTGCAATTTAGACATTATTATACCCAGTTTTTAGACGAGAGAACTGAGGCTTAATGAGGTTAAGTAATTTCTGGAAGTTTATAGGTAGCCACAGCCAGTAATCTTAAGACTGGAATTCTAACCCTAATTGTGTCTGCTTCCAAATCCAGTGCTTTTGCGTCTTCTTCACATATTTTCTTTTTTTATATTCTAGCACTTTGTGAACCCATCTTGTCACTATTAGACTGGAACCTCCTCAGAGCAAATTGTCTTGTTAATATTTAAATTCCCCACAGTGTTTTCTTCTATACAAAATAGGTGCTTAATAAGAACTTCCTAAGTAGTAAGCTGAAGCATTTGATAGGAAATCACAGAAAAGAGGAAGCAGACTTTTCTGTATTATTCCATAAGGGAGAATTTGGGTGAAATTTTAGAAGGTAAATTCCATTGGTGCATAATGATGTTCAAACAAGCAGAGCTGCCCACTTCTGGAACAGAATGTTTTGTCAAAGAGCAAACTTGCAGCCAAGGCTAGAAGGGTGCCTGCCAGGGCAGGATGTTCTAGAAGGAAGCCTGGAGAGGGGACATTTGACTATACAACTTAGTCATCCCTGAGGCTAGGAAATTGATGGAATATGTCTAGTACTTTCTTTGTCCTTTAATGAACTTCACTATTACAAGTTATTCCAAATGTTCAATGTCTCTTATGCAGTACTTGTGAATTACATAGCAAAGTTAAGGTGTAGGGGACATTAAAAAGTCGGGTATAGGGGCACACTGGGTATAGTGGGTTAAGCCTCTGCCTTTTGCTCAGGTCATGATCTCAGGGTCCTGGGATCGAGTCCCACATCGGGCTCTCTGCTCAGTAGGGAGCCTGCTTCTCTCTCTCTCTCTCTCTCTCTCTCTCTCTCTCTGCCTACTTGTGATCTCTCTCTCTCTGTGTCAAATAAATAAAATCTTAAAAAGAAAAAAGTCAGGTATAAAGGGATACAGCTCTTAGAACTGCCTTTCTTGATACGCAGTTTAAGTAAGTCAAATATAATTGGGAACTGTTTCTGAATTAGGATGATGGGGAAAGACCATCGCATTTCTCAGTGATTAGGGAGTTCAAATTTGTAGAAATTAAAATTTCATGATAGTCTTCTTTAAATTATTTTTAAAAACAGCTTTATTGAGATTGAATTGTCATATTAGACACTGTATCCTTTTAAAGCCTCTGTTCAGTGTTTTCAATATTTTTGCCTCCATCTAATGTTAGAATATTTCCTTGCCTAAGGCCCTGGCTACAGTCTCCAGGATAATGTTCCATCCCCACACTGTCTTCCACATAGAGGAAGAAGAGGGGCTTTGATGCATTTAGAGAGGGAACAAGGATGTAACCACAAGGGAAAAGAGAAAACAGTAGAACCTTCATAGAAAAGGAATTCAAGTAGATGCTGATACATAGACGGCTGAGCAGAGGAGAGTCTTAGAGCGCATTGGACGTTGAGCATCAGTTTGAAGGAGGCAATGGATGCAACTTGGCAGAATGGTGTGGGCCGTCAAAGAGACAGATCATGAGGGCCCAGTGTCTCGTTTCTGGAAAAGATCAAGGATTGGAAAAGGCAGGAAGGCAAGCAATAGCCCACCTGGTTGGGAACATACAAGTCAGAACATTATAGAGTGCAAGGTGGCAGGCTGGAGTGGCAGTTGGTAGACTTGTAAAGCACATGTCATTTGACTCTGATTAATTCAGCCAGTCTACAAATGTGTAGGGACATTTCAAGGAAGAAAGCTGGCAGCCATGGACAGATATATTCTCAAAATTTGTCTAAATTTTAGTCTTCTCAGTCCTGTATTTTTTTTTTGACATGAGAATTGATACCTACATGTGTTTCTTTAAAATATATTTTATTCATGCTTAATATAAAATACTCGGATACTATAGGTTTTCTCTAATCTTACTCGCAATCTGATAGATTTTGCTATATTAGGGCTTTTTGGTTTCATAAAATATTTCATTATTTTATCTCGACTTGCCAAAGAATGAGTTGATTGTCGGTTTTTCACCTGCACTATGAGCCATCTGGTGTTAAGTATCATTTATATTATTATCTTTCCCCAGCCAGCTCCACCTGATAGCATCTGTCCCCAGTAGAAAGAGAGGCATAGACTCAACCTTCCATGTGAAGCAAGAAGTCACGTAAATGCAACTTTTACTCTAGAGCTTTGAAATTTGGCTTCTCACTGTTTAAATATTTAAAGGTGGTGCACATTTTCTAATTTTTAAACATTTACTGTGCTTGGATTCAGAATCATGTGATCAGCTGACTTGTCAAAAATATATTTCCTTATTTTACTCTTTTTACCCTAACTGAACTGACCCTTCTTGAGTGTTACGTCACTCTTTATGAGTTTTGCCTAATTCTTGGGCAAGTTGTTCAACAACTCTCAGCCACAACTTCCTCATTTATAAACTTGAGGACAATAGTAACGACTTCCCACAGTGGTGGAGAGGCACGCAAGGCGTGCCCCCAGGATCAGTGCGTGTGCTCAGCCTCAACGCCACCCCCACTCCCATGCGGGAACTGCCTATTTTCAACAGTGCAATAGCTCACACCTAATACAATGTGATTTTAATTCGTGTCAAAATAAATCAACAAATTTGTGACTTCAGTGGGTCGGAAACTTGTTCTTTCTACTTGCTAAACTGGATTTTTAGAAAGACAATCCCCCAGATATAATAATGTTTTATTTGCTTAGATTCTCTGAGTTTTGTACACCCTTTTTCAGAGGAATTGAGAACCCCTTATGGATACAGGCTCTAGGTAATTTTTTTTTTTTTAAGCTGTTGAGGAAGCCTCAGCAGGAGTGGCATCATTTTACAGATGGGTAGAGAGGCAGTTGGGTGCAGTGACTGGTTGAACTGTATCATGATGTGGGCCATAAAATGAATGTAGATAGAGAGTTATAAAAGGAAAAATATGTTATTTATAATTGTTGAGACATCTACCTTTTAAGCCATTTCCTTAATCATCCTTCTTCAGATAAGGTAATTTGCTCTTCCATAAGAGAATACTTGAGAATAAAATTGAGTGGTCTAAAGGGTGTGCTATATTTAATTTCCTATTAACTGAAAATAGCTATAAAGAACTGCCTTTAATTTTGTTTCTCCATCTTCAGTATTAGACTTATTATTGCAAGTTGTTTTAAAGGAGAAAACATTCTTTCATTAGATTATACGCCTAGTGAAGGAACTGGAGTCTTGTTTTAAAAACTATAGTTATGAAGTTGTTTTTCCCTTTGCATTTAAAATAACTTCTTATTTTTACTGAGCATATTGATTTTGTTTGTGAAATGGCTAAACCATTTAATTTTTCTGTTTTCACAAAGAGAGTAATTTTATAATTGCAACTTTCTGGATTTGGCTGAGTTATAGTGATCTTGTGTATTTTGTGTCACATAGGGGTGTGTGTATGTGTGAGAGAGAATGAGAAGATAAGGTTTAAAAGACTTCTGTCTTTTAAAGTAGAGGTTGTCTTAATTCTGATGGTAGAAGCATCTGCAACAGGGCCCAGAATTAGAAGTACTTTAGCTATGGTTCTTGTGATTTAACATCAGGTTATTGGAAAAGATTCAGAGAGCAACCACATGTATTTGTGAAATGCAGGATTGAAATGTGAAGCTAGACATTGTCTTTTTAAAAACGTACACCTTTTCTTTTGCGATCAGATTGTGCTAGGCATGGTGATAGGTGCTGAGGGTGAGGGAGAGGAAGAGAGTACTGAAGGTCTCCAAACGGAAAAGGCAGTCTGCCCAGAAGCCTATGTCATTAAGGAATAAAGTGCGTGGGTGGCTGTGAGAATGAGGGTTATAATCCCGTATCTATACTTCGAAGTGGAATTCGATGATGATGAATGTGCTGATAGATGCTGTAAGGCCCACCTGTAGCTCATAGTAAAAACATGTGGACATGTGGAAGTAACGGCCATTCTCCCAACCAAAGCTTTTTTCTTTTTATCTCATTCTGTTACTAATGGTTTAGATTCTTTTCACCTGGCCCTTCTGTTCTTTCACTATTTGACTTTTCCTAGGCTTTCTGTTTAATGTTTTTATTACGGAAAAGTTAAAGCAAATAAAGCATCTTATATGACCTGCAAGCTTTTTTTCCCCCTGCAGACGCAAATTATGTACAAGTGGATAGAGCCCAAAATCTGCCGGGAGGATCTCACAGATGCTATTAGGTTGCCCCCTTCTGGAGAGAAGAAGGACTGTCCCCCTTGCAACCCTGGATTTTATAACAATGGATCATCATCTTGCCATCCCTGCCCTCCTGGAACATTTTCGGATGGAACAAAGGGTAGGATACCAGTTGGACCTTTAGTAAAATAATCTTGCTGGACTATTGTGACATTGTTCTTCATTGCTTTTACATAAGACTTATTTATAAAACATACTTATCTCACAGAGACTGAAGAAGAGTTGAGAAATATAATGAATTGTGAGGTGGCAGTGCCTTCTTTAACATACCACAAGGATGGTTTTTTCTAGGCATTTTGTATAATACGTGTAATACCCTCTTCACTGGATGACTCACTCTGCCTTTGAATGTTGATAAAAAAATTCCACCATAGGGAGGCCTGGGTGGGCTCACTTTGTTAAGCATCTGCCTTTGGCTCAGGTCATGATCTCAAGGTCCTGGGATCGAGTCCAGCATCGGGCTCCTTGCTCAGCAGGGAATCTGCTTCTCCCTCTCCCTCTGCCCAACCTGGCTCCTCCCTCCCCCACTCATGCTCTCCCTCTCTCTCTCAAATAAATAAAATCTTAAAATAAAATCTCAAATAAATAAATAAAATAAAATCTCAAATAAATAAAATCTTAAAATAAAATCTTAAAAAACCATTCCACCATATTAAGTGTTAAGGATAGGCACTCTTTTTCCAGTGAGTGGTATGGATAAGGATAAGCACTCTTTTTCCAGTGATATATTTATACAAGTATAAATTATAACCTCTTCTAATTCAGCTTTGGAATCATAAATTACATTTTGTACTATAGTAATAGCAAAAAATTACTTGTCTTGAACATATGGCAGTGAAGAGAGTCTCTTAATTTTTCAGGGTGTACAGTTGAGAAAATGTTAGTGCTTATCAAATAATATAGAAAGCACTGCAGAGTTTGTTTTAATTTTGATAGACAAAAATTACAATGTATTTCAGTTGTGGTCATCTCTCTTGAATATAGCCAGGCTATCTGCTTACTACCCAGAGCCTTTGGTAGATAGCACAAGAGGGACTTAAGAGTCTGATTAACTTGGTTTTGAATCCACATAAAACAGGCAGCCATTAGTGTGATTAATCCAAGTTCCTTAAATCTTTTGAACCTCAGTTTTCCCACCCTTAAAATTGTGAGTAATAATATTTAGCTCATATTCTTTGAACAGGTTATGTAAAAATGTGTATAAAGTACTCTGGTGTCCAGAAGTGTTTGCTCAGTGAACATTTCTAAGGACATGATTAATGCAAGTGTGTTGGATAAATTCGGAAAGGGTTGGACAGGATCCTTCCATTTCATTGTTGCACATATTAATTTAAATCAGGCTTATTGATAAACATGACTCTCAACTCCCAGTATCATTTTTCAACGTAGCCAATATTTTGTATTTCAAGTAATCAGTCCATAATTAAATGGTACTCTGTTAAGTTTAATAACCAATAGGAAGGCTGAAATAGTTCCTTGTTCATGAGGTAGAGGGAACTGATCTTAAGAGCACATACAAGAGAACTAGTTTCAGGTTACCCTTCTTGTGCAGGGTGATTGATATTAGCAGTTACTCTCAGAAATGAAGGAAAAAAATAATTTTAAAATATTTTATATTGATCCTTTTCCTTTTTCATGTTAATCAAGTGTATATGGGTAAACTATATCCAGAAATATTTTTCTTTCCAGATTATTTTAGAAAAAGTTATTAATTCTTAAGAGAATTGATGCTCTACTATCTCTCCTTCCTGCATTCCTCTCTGCTAATTAAAGTTTAGTAGTATTTAGAACGGAGGAAGAGGAAGATGTCCAAATGCAATTTAACTGTAATTATCTCCTTCACCTGTTTCTCATAGAATGTAGGCCGTGTCCAGCAGGAATGGAGCCTGCGCTTGGGTTTGAATATAAATGGTGGAATGTCCTTCCTGGCAACATGAAAACTTCCTGCTTTAATGTTGGGAATTCAAAGTGCGATGGAATGAATGGTGAGTTCAGAATCGGCCTCCTGGACATATTGGGTCATAGACACTCTTGGGCCCAGCTCTCTGAAAACATACCAAATGTGGGTATGTGGAACTTCATTCTTGTCCATTGGCTTACTTGTCTGCCTTCCAGCCCTCACACGGAAATGGTGAATGGGGTGTCACAACCAGTTGACTTCTCTGTAACAGTATGAACTATTTTGCATTTTTTTGGAGTCAGCTTTGAAGTAGATATTCAGGCTCACCATTGATGGTTATAAATGTATTTAGAGTAGCTCACCAAGGGATGTAATGAAATCCATGTCACTTGCCATTTCGAAGAACAGGATGACAGCATTTCTGCCAGCATTGAGTCTGGCTCAGGACTGAGCTGTGTTGAGAGGTGAGGTCAACTCTAAGTCCCCTTCCCTGTGAAATCTATGATTGTGTGTAAAAAATATATGTAAGCCCCACTTATTGAAAACTTGAAAATGTGACAGAGTTTTATGAGATTGTGGCTGAATTTTATTTGTTCCAATATTTTAAGACCCGAGAGAGGCTAGCACTTAGTTTTCTGCAATATTTTCTGGTTGAATGAATGACAGTATCTATACGTGTATTTTTTTTAAAAGATTTTATTTATTTATTTACAGACAGAGATCATGAGTAGGCACAGAGGCAGGCAGAGAGAGAGAGTGGGGGAAGCAGGCTCCCCACCGAGCAGAGAGCCCGATATGGGGCTCGATCCCAGGACCCTGAGATCATGACCTGAGCTGAAGGCAGAGGCTTAACCCACTGAGCCACCCCGGAGCCCCTATACATGTATTTTTAAACTTAATGCTAGGAGTAGCTATTCACAAATACTAGGGTTTTATACCAAAATGCATCCTTTTACTTTCATCATCTCCTTAGCAATTTTAATGAGCCCACTTTTTCTCCACATTACATTTTGTTGTTTTAAAAAATTCTTTTAAATTGCTTCTGTTTTAAGTCAGTACCTATCTGAAATAAATATACTTGGGATGTAGGAAGTGAGGTGAACACATGAAAACGAAGATTGAAAAAATAGTAGGTCCTTGAATACTTCCACTTCTAGGAAGTTATCCTAAGGGAGAAGAAGAAAAAATACAGTAGTAATTACTTGACCATGAGGGTTTATGTTCCTAAAAGATCCCATGATTGAATTCTAAGTTGAAGAAGTTAAGACTTATGGAGGGAAAATAAGATTGGGAAGGCCAGGGAATTGAAAGAACTCATGAAAGCATCGATTGTTTGTGTGTGTGTGTGTGTGTGTGTGTGTGTGTGTGTTTATTCACTTACTAGTAAAGATTATCTGGAACTTTTACTTGATCTTTTGGAGAACTTGGTCTAACTCTCATGATAATACTCAATGGTAGCCACTTGCTTCCTCCCTTACCTAGAGGCTAAAATGTACATTTTTGATAATTTTCAGAAATGTTTAATTATTAATTTGAAAAATAGACATCTCTTCACTATTAGTATGTGATATTAGAATAACAAATAGTCATGTGAAAAATATAACACAAAAATGAAGATAAAAGGTGATGTGTATTTTTATGCCTGGACAGTTCAGCTTTGAGAGGAATAGCATGACAAGAATGGGGACCAAAGTGAGAGGCCCAGGAACAGCCTGTGTCATGAGGGGATCACCCAGTCATCGGTTCAAGTGGATGTGCTTTGGCTAAATTGACTGTGTGACTTGGAGTACTTGGACATTCATGTCTTCTCAGTCTGAATTGTACATAGTTGCAGACCAGATACACAGAAGTACATCTTCATATATTGCAAGTTTGCCTTAAAGTTACCCATAGTTGGAGAGAAGTTACTGTTTATGCATGAAGATGTTCAGTGAGCATTATCTGTAATCACAGAAATTGAAATAGTCTAAGTATCCAGCAAAAGATTATGTTTATGAAAGTTATGCTGTACTGATAGAAGAAATATTATGCAAACATTTAAAATGGCAGTCACCTGGAAAACAATTTGACAGTGTTTCAAGAATTTTGAATGTTCTTCTTCAACCCATTTATTCCATTTCTGGGAATTTATACCTGGGTAACAATGTAAAGGTGTAAAGAAAGAAATTATGGAAAAATATGTTAACTTTAGTGCTAATTAAGAGGAAATAAACTAGATTTTCAACAATGGGATTTGATTAAATTAAATTATGTAATCATGGAACCTATTGTTAAATCATTAAAATCGGATGTAGTAAGGATTTTTAATGGGAAAATGTTTTCAAAATAATACTAATGAGAAAAATCAGAAGATAGTGCTAAATAAAAAAAACAGAAAATAGAGTATCCGTTAAAATCTAAGGTATGTTAAAGTGTGCACTAAAAAAAGATGGAAAAGAAATACATTGAAATGTTAAGAGGCTCTCACTTGGAAGTGGGAAGTTACAGGGAAGTATGAATTGCTTCATATTTTTTTGTTTAGTTTTGCCATATTTAACAAATATTCCTCCTTGATTCACATTGCTTTCCAAATCACCATAACAGCACCAAACACTGGTTTAAAAATATATCTATTTTACCTAGTAATTCTTTCACCGAGATTCTTTTCTAAAAAAATACAGAAAAACTTTACCAAAAATAAGTTTATTATTACAGTATCATTTATAGCACTTAAAAGGTAAAAACAAACCGAATGGTTAAATTGAGTGTGTGGTCAAAGGAGGTAAGTCCGTTAGTGTGATTGGTAAATTATGGATATTAATTATATCCATCTACATGATAAACTATTAATTCAGTCATGAATATGTTGGTGAAGTATTTATGCATAAAAATGCTTATGCAATAATGTTAACATATAAAACCGTGACACTAAATGTTATCAGCAACACAATCTCAAAGATGTAAAAACCTATGCATCCCAAGGTAATGAAAGGAAACTACTCAAAATATAAGCAGTGGTTTTATTCTGGGTGATGGAGTTAAAAGTAAGTGTAGTCTTCATCTTAAAATTTTTCTGTGGTTTCAAAATTTTATAATTTATAATATGATTTCTGAAAACAAATAAATAATGGTACATGGGAGATATTTCTCCTTTCCTCATTTAATGTGGCCATTTCAGCCTATGGTATGTTGATTATTTCTATGCAGAGGACAGACCTCCCATCACCTTCTACGTGCAGCTCTGTCTCCCCATTCTCTTGTCAATTGTTAGCATAGGTTTCTTCTTAGATGCTACTGACCCTCAGAGAGGGGAGACCCAGCCTTGTCTTCCTAACCCTAGTGCTTCTCATGGCTCTTGGCAGTCCATGAAGGCCTCTCGAGTGAGTAAGTGAATGAATGCAGAATAGTAGTTGTAAATTAGGGACCAGCAATACAGCAAACTATAAGAAAGAACTCTGGACCCCAAATCTTCTTCTTTAAGTAATTTGAAATTTCTAGTTTCTGTTGGTTATCTGAGGACTAAGATTTTCCATTTCAGTTTATTGGAAAAGATAAAGACTATATATTTTCATTTAAAAAAAGCTGAATTTAGAAAACTGCTATTAGTTTTCCCTTAAATAGCTTCTGTGCAAAAATATGCATTACTTGATTCTTCCTGAGGAATTATATGGAATGTCTTTATTGATATTAGGAGTCTGCCTCTGCATGCAATTTACAATTGCAGTGTAAACATAGGGAATTCTTTTGGAGTATTTCTAACTTTGGAGGGGATGAGGCAAGATAGTAGAAGCCTAGGGGATCTCATTTCATCTGATCCCTTGAATTTAGCTAGATATCTATCAAATCATTTTGAAAACCTATGAATTCAATCTGAGATATAAGAAAAGAATTGCTGGAATTCTACAAATAGAAAAGTAACCACTTTTTGCAAGGCAGGAGGAGCAGAGACATGAATCTGAGGTGATGTATTGGAAGATAAACCATGGGTTAGGGTAGGAGGGAGGGAGCCTCTAAAAGCCAGCTCCTGGAAAGTAATATAGCCCCAGTGTGCAAAATTGGAACTTTTATAATTCTGCTCCAGGGAGAGACAGTCCTGCCTGAAAGGTGCTCAGGTCATGAAGCTGGGCAAAGTCCTAGGTGGGACAGTGTGGTCTCAGGGTCCCTGAGGTCACAGAAAGAATGGGGGTGTCTGAGCTGACAAAGTTCCTAAGCACTGGAGCGGGGAAACTGGCTATGGTCAGCAAGCCTGCAAGTGGGCTTTCAGCTCTGTTTTCCATAAACCACAAACCATGGCAACAGGGTGCCCTGCAAAGGACAGAACGTGGCAACCTCCTCCTTCCCCCAGGCAGGGTACAAGGGTGCAGAATGATCCAACAACAGCTCTCCCTGTGGGGCTCTGCTCCCTCCCCTCTCTCCTCCCTCTCTGGTCCCCTGAGGAAAGGTGAAGGTGTGAGATACAGTCTTCTTTGGAGTTTGGCACACACAAGAGTGAAGACTGATATTCCCTGAGGGTTTACTAAAGAAGAGGGGCCCCAATCTTTCAGCTCCAGGGCTGGTGATCAGGACACTGCCATTTTTTTTTTTTCTGACTTTTTTTTTTTTTTCTGACTTGCAATTTATTCAGAAGAAAACAACACAGAAGGTAAGGAATTACCCACTGATAAATGGCATGCCATTATCAAGCACATGGAATTGACCCCCAAATGGATTATTCATTTTATAATATTTTTTTCTTTGCAGATTATTAAAAAAAAAAAAAGGCACTGCCATTTTTATTTTCATTTTCTAAAGCGGGGCAGAAAGCCTTCAGAGAACAAAAGCCACATAGAGCACCCAGAGCAGCTTACACTGACCCTGGCTCCCTGGCAAGGGTCGGTGTAACTTCACTCAGGCAAAGACATCTGAGAATCAGTGCAGTAGGCCCCTCCCCCAGAAGACCAGCTGGAACATCAGGAGAATGCAAAGTTTACCGAGCACAAAGAACTCCAAAACTCCAGTGCTAGGGGAAAATAGTATGTAGAATTTGAGGGGTTTTTTTCTCATGATTCTTTTATCTTTCAGTTTAGAATTTTCCTTTTTGTCTCTTTTTCCTTTTCAGCTAGTTTCTTATTTTATCAACTCTTTGTTTTTCAGTCTTTTTTAAACTTTTGCTTTTACATTTAAAAATATGTTCTTCATTTTTGGCTTCCTTTCACTGTATTCAATTTTATTTTTGTATATATATATATATATATGTTTTGTTTTCTTTACAATTTTAGGATTTAGTGTCTTCTAACAAACAGACCAAAATATACTTACGACCAAGTGGATTACCTGTTTTGTCCACCTGGGAGATTATATTCTCTCCTTTTACCCCCTCCCCTTTTTTTTCCCTTTTCTTTTTTGGTTTCTGATCTCTTCAGATTTGTCTAGTGTGTAGTTTGCTTGGGTCATGGTTGATACTTTTGATTTTATTCTCTTGTTCATCCATTCTTCTCTGAGCAAAATGACTAGAAGGAGGAATTCACAAGAAAAGAAAGAACCAGAGGTAATACTCTCTGCCACAGATCTAATCAATATGGATATAAGTAAAATGCCAGAGCTGGAATTCAGGATAATGATTATAAAGATACTAGGTGGGCTTGAACAAAACAGAAAAGACACTAGAGAATCTCTTAGTGCAGAAATAAAATCTAATCAAGCCAAAATTAAAAATGCTTTAATTGAGATGCCATCTAAAATGGATGCTCTAACAGGTAGGGTAAATGAGGCAGAAGAGAGTCAGTGACATAGAAGACAAGATGATGGAAAGAAAGGAAGCCGAGGAAAAGAGAGAAAAACAACTAATGGACCATGAGGTGAGGATTTGAGAAATCAGTAATACCATAATGCAAAATAATATTAAAATTACTGGTGTCCCAGGGTAAGAAGAAAGAGAGCGGGATAGAAGGTATATTTGAGCAAATCATAGCTGAGAATTTCCCTAATCTGGGGAAGGAAACAGGCATTCAAGTCTGGGAGGTAGAGAGAACCCATTCCTTAAAATCAATAAAAATAGATCAACACCCCAGCATATAATAGAGAAGCTTGCAAATTTCAGAGGTAAAGAGAAAATCCTGAAAGCAGCTCAAGAGAACTCTTTAACCTACAGGGGGAGGAACATTAAACTGACAGCAGATCTATCCACAGAGACCTGGAAGACCAGAAAGGGTTGGCATGTTATATTCAGGTTACTAAATGAGAAAAACATGCAGCCAAGAATACTTTATCCAGCATATCCATTCTGAATGGAAGGAGAGGTAGAGAGTTTCCAGGACAAACAGAAGCTAAAAGACTCTGTGATCACTAAACCAGCCCTGCAAGAAATATTATAGGGGATCCTGTAAGTGAAGAGAGAGTCCATAAGTAATACAGACCAGAAAGAAACAGAGACAACCTACAGAAATGGCGTCTTTACAGGTAATACAATGGCACTAAACTCTTACCTTTCAATAGTTAACTCTGAATGTACTGGGCTAAATGCCCTAATCAAAAGACACAGGGTATCAGGTAGATAAAAAAGCAAGACCCATCCATATGCTGTCTGCAAGAGACTCATTTTAGACCTGAAGACACTTACAGATTGAAAGTGAGGCGGGGAGGGGAAATATTTATCATGCTAATGGACATCAAAGGAAAGCTGGGGTAGCAGTCCTTAAATCATTCAAATTAGATTTCAAACCAAAGACAATAGTAAGGAATGAAGAAGGACACTATATTATACTTAAAGGGTCTATCCAACAAGATCTAACAATTATAAATATTTATGTTCCTAACTTGGGAGCAGCCAATTATATAAACTGATTAATAACAGAATTAAACACATTGATAATAATACAATAATAGGGGACTTCAACACCCTACTCACTATAATGGACAGATCCTCTAAGTAGAAGATCAACACGGAGTTATTTCTAACTTTGAATATAAACACTAATAGTCTTTTTAATTTTTTTACCCTATTTAAAAATATTGTTGGAAATCAATGGGATTTTTACTGATAAAGATACCTTTTCTCATTTCCAGGTTGGGAGGTGGCTGGAGATCATATCCAGAGTGGAGCTGGAGGTTCAGATAATGATTACCTGATCTTAAACTTGCATATCCCAGGATTTAAGTAAGGAAAACCAATTCTGATTCCCTTCTGTAAGAATCCTCATGCCTGTTTCCCTGTAGAAATAGATGCAGTAGGACTGCTTTCATACAATATACTTATGTTTTGATGGACTTAGCAAATATCGAACTGTTGTAGGATAATGTATTACATTTAAGAATATCTGAGAATTGGTGATTGAGAAACTGTAACCATTAGTTGTATGTTTAGATGAAGCTGAAAGTTTTTAACAATAATTCTATCCAAATGTTACAATAACCATGATTATTGGATGCTTAGTGAAGAAGTTTTTGCCCAAGTTGTTGTTTGTGGGAGTATTTTTTGGTTTATAAATTTATTTTTTCTCAGTTTTATCTGTAAAGTAGTATGCTATAACTGTTCAAATCCTTTTTTGCTTTAGTTCTCCATGTTGACATTTCCCAATAGGCATATTTTGCTTGCTTTAGGATGGATGGTAATAGTTAAATCAGGAGATTCAAGCATATTACCATCATTGGTAAGCTCCTTACTGGGATGGTCTGGGGACACAGAGATGGAGCAAGGAAGAAGTGGCTGTGGGAAGCCATTGATTAGGGGAAGAGAAGAGCATTGCTTTCAGCTTAATGAAGAAAGTGACTTAGTTTTGTGTCATACTGTATTTAGATGTCTGTTTTTAATTTGTCTGTCAAATTATAATTTTAATCTGTCAAATAGGCCACCAACGTCTATGACTGGAGCCATGGGTTCTGAACTGGGAAGAATAACATTTGTCTTTGAGACCCTCTGTTCGGCTGACTGTGTTCTATACTTCATGGTGGTAAGTGAAAGAGAGGCTTTCAAAGGCAGGTTTCTAAGCTTGGCATTTTCTTTCAAGTGCCAATTCATTCATGCAAGTTGGGATAAGAATCCCATTTTTCTTCCCATTCTTAGGTCCTTGCAGAAAGTTAAAAAATATCTAAAGAAGTCACTAAGAAATGTCAGTGCAGCCCACAAAGAAAGCTTGTGTTCCTCATGGGGAGGACTGAGCAAGGGGGCTCGGGTGATTGATGCAAGTCAGGGGATAGTAATCTGGTAAAAATTCCTTCATAAAGATATGCCATCATCACAGTGAAAACTGTCCTCTAATAACCATTCTGTAGTTCAAATCACTAGGAAGGAAAAACCTCTATAAGGAAACTATTCACTGTTAAATTAATAAATGTAGACAAAAGACTTACTATGTGCATGTCATACTTCTGCCCAATTTTTTCTAGATGGCCTATACATTTCAACTCTTAGCTTGAGAAAAGTAGCAACAAAAAATTTATTAAGATCTTTTATGGGTATTACAATGTTGTTGGCTAAGATTTTAACACTGTAAGTAGTGACTTCAAAGACATTGTTTTTGCTTTTCTCCCAAGTCTTTTAGTAGCTAGTTAGCAGTCTATTAACAGTTTCCTCTGTGACATACAAATTAGATGAAGATTTTTTTTTTAAAGATTTTATTTATTTATTTGACAGAGAGAGACACAGCGAGAGAGGGAACACAAGCAGGGGGAGTGGGAGACAGAGAGGGAGAAGCAGGCTCCCCGCTGAGCAGAGAGCCCGACGCGGGGCTCGATCCCAGGACCTTGGCATCATGACCTGAGCCAAAGGCAGACGCTTAACCGACTGAGCCACTCAGGCGCCCCATAGATGAAGATTTTAATATCTGTAATTACTGCCAGCTTAAGGGAAGGCAGGCTGTTTTCTTCTAAAAAAAAAAAAAAAAAAAAGGACTTTGTCGTAGTAAAAGAAGATCATGAATAATCTTCAACACATCCATTTACTTTTTTTTTATAAGATTTTATTCATTTATTTGACAGAGATCACAAGTAGGCAGAAAGGCAGGCAGAGAGAGAGAGAGAGAAGGAAGCAGGCTCCCCACTGAGCAGAGAGCCCGACAAGGGGCTCATCCCAGGACCCTGGGACCATGACCTGAGCCGAAGACAGAGGCCTTAACCCACTGAGCCACCCGGACACCCCAAAACATCCATCTGATACACTACAAATAAGCAATAATTCAATTCCCAGCTCTGCCTCCATATTTCTTTAATCTGTTCATTCTTTTTCACCGTCAGTGCCTTTACTGAGGTCCTGACTCCCACTCTTTCTCGGTAGCCATCTGTATTCTTTTTCTCTCCATTCTCTCATATATGCTACTGTCAAAATGTTCTTTATAAGCATCAAAACAGTAATGGAGACCTCTACAACGAATCTGCCTTCTTCCCCTTGCTGGTTGGTTACTGCCTATGGCAGTGGCGATTAAAGTATGGTCTCTGGACCAGCATCACCTGGGAATTTGTTAGAAACATAGATTTCTCAGCCCCCTCCTGGTCTTAATGAGAAGCTCTGGCGATGGGCCCGGATATCTGTGTTCTAGCCAGCCACAAGGGTGGTTCTAACATCAACAAAGGTTTGAGTGCCAATAGCCTCTGAATACACTTAAAATTTCTTAGCATGGCTTGGTTTGGGTTTTTGTCCTCTTTGCCCAGCTTCTTTTTACCAAGTTGACCATTACTACTCACACCTCTTTAGACATCCTGAATTTGTTAGAGGGCCGCTCTGTACTTCAGTTCTCATACTTGGCACTCTGAGCCAGAATGGCTCTCTTCCTTTTGCTCCTTTGTCTGGTAAACTCCCACACATTATTCAAGGGGTGCTCAAACTTCACCTCTTCTGGGAAGCTTTCTCTTAGTCCTTTAAGTGAAATTAGCCGTTCTCTCCAGTGTGCTCCAAAAACTCCTTGAGAAAACTCTGTTTTAACTATGTGACTGTATTGATGTTTTGTCTCTCTCACTTGACCAAACAATCCTGAGGGTAGGAATCATAGCTATTTATTTTTGTAAATCAATCTTAGAGTTTTTAGCTCATTGCAGAATCTGTTTTCTTTCCTCTCTGTTTGATTCGGTTTTCTCACAGGATGTTTTGTGGTGTCAATTAAATAGTGTATAGAAATGCTCTCAAAACCATGCAGGTTTTCAAAACCTTTTACAAAGGTAGGATGGCATTATTTGTGGTAATGCAATAAATTTCATTTATTATTGGAATAAACATGTAGAAAGATGATGTTTTAACAGAGAACTGTCTGTGTATTCTGAGCTCCTTTTAGGAAGCGGCATGTATGGTGGTTTGGTCATTTGGTAACGTGGAGAATTCTGTAATGTATGACAAGCACATTCTGTTATTTCTGTCTGTGGTGTGAACTCAAGACACATCTCTCTACAGCATATTTGATTACTTTATAATGTTTGACTCCTATGTTTATATCATAGAAAGAAACAGACATATCTTGAGCTCATGCCACCATATGGTCAACATCCCAGATAATGTAACAGAAGCCCATCCGAATTTCTAAGTCATCTAGTAGGGTTTCTGTAGGGACCACTAATTAGAAAATTCAAGGCTGGCTTTGATTTTCACTTCAAATTAATTAGTTGTATATTACATTATTTGGTTGACTTACTATATTTGTTTTCTAATCATCTTAATGACAACATATTGGTTAGAATGTTACACATTTGTAGGATATTCTAAATATTGAATTTAGCTAAGGAAATCAGAAATAAAATATTTACACATATTCCTTTGGAATTCAAGTTTAAGCAGCAGAAGATGATTCTTTGGACTTAAAATAACATTCTGGTTAATAAATACTTGGAGAAGCCTAGAAGTTGCAAGTGTAGTTCAAGGGAAACTTAGAACTCCTGTGTAAGAGCTGCCTAGCAGAATCTCTCAAGGAAAAAGGCAAACATGGTAAGCCTTGCTCTTCTGTGAGCAGCTTAGACGTTTACTGTGAGAAATTGGAGGAATTTGTTTTCCCTTTGAAGTGTCTTTCTTTCTTTCTTTTTATATATTTTTTTATAAAGGTTTGTTTTTTTTTTTCTTTTTTTAGATTTTATTTATTTATTTGACAGACAGAGATCACAAGTAGGCAGAGAGGCAGGCAGAGAGAGAGGAAGGGAAGCAGGCTCCCTGCTGAGCAGAGAGCCCGATGATGGGGGCTTAATCCCACGACCCTGGGATCATGACCTGAGCTGAAGGCAGAGGCTTTAACCCACTGAGCCACCCAGGTGCCCCATTTTTCTTTTTATATTTTATTTATTTATTTGACTGAGAGAGAACACAAACAGGGGAAATAGAAAACAGAGAGGCTTCCTCTCTCACCCACAGAGCAGGGAGCCCGATGTGGGACTTGATCTCAGGACCCCAGGATCATGACCTGAGCTGAAGGCAGACACTTTACAGATTGAGCCACCCAGGCGCTCTGGAAGTGTATTTCCTAAGCTAGAGTCACCTGCACACAGACACATGCGCGTGCGCGCATACACACACACCCTTAAATGTACTACAATTTGAGACTTCTTTCAGGTTATATTGACAATGTGTTTGAAAAATTGTAATTACTAAGCTGGTAAGTGCTTGCGTAGACTTGGAGGGAGGTTTTGAGAGTTCTAGGGTGACGTGCTCTGCAGATAAATATTCATTGACCCTCCAGGGGTTTTTGTAAAGACATATTTGTAATGTATACACATGTATATTAATCCTGAGTTTGTGCTTTTTTTTGTTTATATTTTCTACTATATATTAGGATATTAATAGAAAAAGTACCAATGTGGTGGAATCATGGGGTGGAACCAAAGAAAAGCAAGCTTATACCCACATCATATTCAAGAATGCAACATTTACATTTACATGGGCATTCCAGAGAACGAATCAAGGTCAAGATGTAAGTTCCAAGCACTTTTTTTTTTTTTTTTCAATGCAAAGATCATGCTCCCGATGGAAATTTGTACAAAATGATCACCTATCTCTCCTGGAGGAAAAGATTTAGTTTTCTATTGATATGGGATCAATCATTTGGTTATGGAGAGGATTTGTATTAAAATGGTTTGAGAGCAAGAACGTATGAAATTGAATAACACAACGTATCCTTTGAATTGTTCTACACTAAACAGATATATTTGCTGAAAGCTTAAGAGAAAGAAAATCTGACTGCAGTTATTAAAAGGTGTCTTTAAGGCTTTCTAAAACTTTGAGAAGGCTGGTGACTGTCTTCCTCTTTTTCTGAATGGTCTGACATTTGTCCTGGAGCCATTAACTGGTGTTGGTTTATTATTTCATTGTAGTGATGTCGCCTTTTATAGCCTGGAGAGTGTGTATGTACACATGATTGGGTTTACACACAGAATTACTTATTTTCTTTTACTTTCCCTGCTAGAGTAGACCTTAATTCTCCCCTAAGTTCGTTCCATTGTATGTTTTGATAGTAACAAGACTTACTTTTGTGGATCTCCATAGATGTGACCTTCCCAAGGTGAAAACAAGGTAAACCACTTAAAGCTGTGGTGACAAATGCAGAACATTTTCTCTTTTCTCTTTGGGCTTTCCCTGGGGAACCCATTCCCAGATGTTATTTGACTCTGATTGTTGATGGGTGTTTGGGTTACCATCACGTGGGGCATGAACATGCTGTGGAATGTTTCCTCATCTTGTTGTTGTCCCTCCCCCAGACAAAAGACATTAATAGTCTAGGGTAGCTCTGTTCTCTACTGATAGAGTGGTGCCACTGCCTGGTGAGAACTAGATCTTGATTGACCCAATGTTACAAGAAGAAAAAGTATAGTTAGACCCAGGGATTTGTTCTCTACTCTGCAACCCTTCACTAGAAATCCATATATAGGTCAGGGAAAGTAGTGGAGAGAGAGAGAGAAAGTCCCAAAGGTATGGTGTGATGGCATCATGGTCAGTGTTTGGTGAGGACCAGAGTCCTAGTCTTTCAAGGCTAACCCCTCTTCAAAAGCTTTACCACTTGCTACCCTGCAAACATCCTATTGTATCATTACAGTTAGGCTTATCTCTGAATAAACCATCATGGGAGATAAAGTTGTTCCTGTGTTAAACCATACCAGTTCTTCCAGATGTAAAGCCTATAAACATGCCTGATCTTGCGGTGATTGTGGATAACCTCCTGGAACTCCATTACTATGGAGATTAGCTCCTAGTGTTAAGATTTAAGATTTTTTTTTTTTTAAAGAACCAAGAAGAAGTAATTTTAATCCACTATCGATTATAAACTGCTAGTCTGGAACACTCTGCTTAGCTATTTTGGTGATACCCACACAAAACGATCTGGTTGTACAATTAAGCCCCAAGGCAGAAGTCATTACTTTCTGCTCTCTTTTTAGAATAGACGGTTCATCAATGACATGGTGAAGATTTATTCTATCACTGCCACTAACGCAGTTGATGGGGTGGCGTCCTCATGCCGTGCCTGTGCCCTCGGTTCTGAACAGTCGGGCTCATCGTGTGTCCCCTGCCCCCCAGGCCACTACATTGAGAAAGAAACCAACCAGTGCAAGGAGTGTCCACCTGACACCTACCTGTCCATACATCAGGTCTATGGCAAGGAGGCTTGTATCCCATGTGGGCCTGGGAGTAGAAGCACTCAGGTGAGTGTGTGTTTCTCTTATTCCCAGGAAAACTTTAATAGAGATACTCATAAGATCCCCTTAATATTTCTCCAGGAACTATGTTGTAATTCTATTTAGAAATGGCCTTTTCATTCTTCTTGTTTTCTCTCCTCTTAGATTTATGCAGCACGTGAACATGTCTTATGTGCCATGAAAGCCCTAGTTCCTGGGGGCATCAGATATTAAGAAAAGCACTCCAATAATAATGGTCTCCAAAAATATTAAAATTAGATTTTTGTGTATTCTGTTAGGGAAGAGCAAGTAAACTCCCTCTGTGGATTGGCCATAGGATTATGGGGAGAGCAGCAAGTATATCTTAGAGTATTTTAAGGGCAAAGGTTGATGTTATATTATGGGTGAAGGAGAAAGTAGTTTTACTGTCTCTTAAAACTGGCATAACAGGGACTTTTGGCTATTTATTAAAATACCTTTTTCCAAGAAACTGGTCTTAGAATAACTTTGCTCTTACTTTAAAAAATGCTGATTTTTCTGTACTCTGCCTTGGAAAATCTAATTATTTTTTCGAAATTCTCTATATTCATGTGATAAACCATAACTAAGACAAAAAAAAGGAAAATATTTTTAAACATAGAACTGTTTTTGAAACACATTTTTCATAGCAGCTAATATTTTGTTTTCTACTATATATTTTTTTTTGTTTCTTAATCTTTAATCAAAGGACCACTCAGTTTGCTATAGTGACTGCTTTTTCCACCACGATAAAGAAAATCAGAGTTTGCACTATGACTTCAGCAACCTCAGCAGCGTGGGCTCATTGATGAATGGACCCAGCTTTACCTCCAAAGGAACCAAATATTTCCACTTCTTCAATATTAGTTTATGTGGGCATGAGGTGAGTTCTGGCTGTCAAAATGAGATAGAGCTGTATTTCAGCTCTGATTGAGTTGATATTTTCTGTGTGGATGCCTCAATAAAATCTCTACAGAAACTAACAACCAAATGTCAGAAACTGAGCTGTGATTGCTTAAATCCTGCGTTGCCTCTTAGCATGTTGGCAGCTTTCTCCAGCAGGGCCAGCCTTGTCTGCCTCTCTGTCCATCAGAGCACTTATTCCCCAGCCCCTGGAACCCCAGAGATAATGATCTTCATTATGAAATGCTGTGCCAGATTTTATGCAAAGAAAATAAAAAGAGATCTGATGACCACAGATGTTTTCAGGCAAAGGGATCTATAAATTTTACATGGTGTGGTGTTTGTCCTGTTCTGATTTCACAGGGAGTGATCTAAAGCACTCAGCCAGTTAGTTACTCAGTTCATTGAATAAATAAATGCATATTAAATATGTGTTTTGCTAAATATTGAGTGAAGCGGTGAATGAGATTCTTTACATTACATATTACATTTCTTTTTGTCCTTATGCCTCTGTTACCACTGTCTTGCCTTCCCTCTATCCCCTCTTCTTTTCTGTCCTCTTTCTCTTCCTTTCTTTTCTATTCTAATTCCTTTCCTTTTGTTGCTGTTTTCCCCTTTCTTTCCTCAATAGTTTCTCTCTGATCTTTTCCATTGTTTTCCTCTTCTCAGTTTCAACAATTTAAGCTTAGTAACAATATATTGTACCTGTATTGTTGTGAGAAGGCTTAGTGGAGGAAGAAACTTTTAAGTTCAGACTGCTAGCTGCATGAAGAAAGATAAGTCGACATTCCTTTCTTTGGGCCCATGTGTGCTCACCCTACAGCTAAGACTAATAAAATCATCTTCCTTTTTCCCTTTATACTGTCCTACATAGAAATTATAAAGCTATAGTTGTTTGTAGTGGGACTATAGTATATTTAAACAGTCTTCCAATTTTTATAGATTACATATTCCAACTGAGTGAATGATTCAAAAAGTAAACTCCTGTATTCCCTTCACCTTCCTCTGTAGTTGAGTAGTTACATGTCATTGAGTGTGAGTAGCTGAATGAAGGCACTTGTAGTGACCAACTATTAAGAATTTAGATGGTGTCCTAAATTTTGCTGCAATAGGACTTTTAGGCTTTCTTCTTCAGACTTCATATTACCTTTTTGCCACAACAGACCAATAAAGGAGAAGGAAGAGCATGTCTTTTTCTTTGACATTAAAACCTTCACCAAGAGTTATCTGGTCTCTTTGAACACATTGTTATCCTTTGAATTGATGGTTTCATGGGTGACTTTTAGTTGCTTAAGTTAGATGGCTTTCATCCAGCACAAATGATGCTTGTAGTTGGAAGAGCAGTGCAGTCTTGAATTTCTATATTCATTGTAATTTAAATGACTCAACCCTGGTTAAACATTGGAATTCCTCAAGAGCTTTAAAAAAAAAAAAATGCCAGTGCCTGGGCCCCATACCATACCAATTAAAGCAGAATGTCTGCAGTGAGGAGAGAGCCACTGCTCTACGAGGGTCATGAGCTCTCTGAGATCTAATGTAAGGACTGACTCTTCCACACACATACACATACACAAAGAGGTTTCTCTTTATGACTTTATTTTCCTAGGGGAAGAAGATGGCTCTCTGTACCAACAATATAACAGACTTCACAGTAAAGGAAATAGTGGCGGGGTCCGATGATTATACGAATTTGGTAGGAGCCTATGTATGCCAGTCAACTATTATTCCTTCTGAAAGTAAGGGTTTCCGAGCAGCCTTATCATCACAGTCCATCATTCTGGCAGATACATTTCTAGGTAAGCTTCATTTGGTTCCTGTATGTATGCATGCAGTTATTCTAAAATTACAGTACTGGTAATTTGTCATTGTGTTGGTATTTGCCATAGATGATGACGGCCTCAGGTAATTCTAAATCATCACTTTGTAACATGGTTGCAAAGCCCCTGAAGTTGAGATCTATTGGTCAATCTAAGTGAGTGCAAGCATCTCCTGAATTTATGCATAATTTTTTTTGAGAGTCTATGCTTTTCATCAAATTCTCCAGGAGCTTAAGAAGCAGAATAAGATTAGAAACCAAAACTATAAACAAAAGCACAGCAAACAAATATTTTATAAACCTAAATCATAATATCCACCACCAGTTTTCATAAGTAAGTTGGTGACACTTAGTAAAGGTGAATGTGGGGAGCTTTATTCCCCGTCTGTCTTTCCTGTCTTTGTAGACTAGAAGGCATAAGAAAGTTTTAAGAATGACCACTTAGTGATTTTTATGGATCGAGTTCATTAGAACCTCTGGGATGGTGATATAACAGTATAACAATTTAACAAGCTTCTTGTGATTCTAATGTACAGCAGAGTTGAGAACCATTGCTATCAACTCCAGAGGAATTTAGCTTTAATTTTCAGCACCGTGGTCAGTTACCGAGTCAGCTGGAGAGGTTGCTGTTACTGCTTGCATTTTGGCTCTGTGGTCATTTTGTCTCCAAGGGATGGGAGAAGTGCCTGACTTTTAGATTAAACAAAATTTGGAGTTGCTTTCTGGAAGTTATTGGGTACAAAAATTTTTTGTTTTCTCAGGTGTGTCTATACTGAGTGAAAAGCTGTATTAACAAAACAGCCCAGCTCTTACAATACAACTCATTAGAAGCTGAGAATTTTAATAATGTTAGGATGTTGAAGTGTTAGAGCTGGAAGGGGCTTTAGAGATCATCTCAATTATTTCATGCATTTTACAGATTTAGGACATAAGGCCCAGGGATGTGAAGTGACTTGAGCAAAATTACAGAGCTATAGAGTAGATTCTTTTCTTTTTTTTCTTAGAGTTTGGAATGGTACTTTATCTTACTGTGAATGCATAGATTTAATACAATATTTCTGGTCAAATGACAGTATCCAAGTAAAGCTGGTTTCTATTCAGATACACAGAGACTAAATAAATCTCATTCTTCCATATTGCTTAACAGCTTCTTTTTTATTGTCATCTAGGAGTGACCGTTGAAACGACATTGCAAAATATTAATATAAAAGAAGAAATGTTCCCAGTTCCCTCTAGCCAAATACCAGATGTGCATTTCTTTTATAAGTAAGTGAAGATGCTGCTTCCCTTGACTATTTTAATCAAGAGTATCTTGGTACCTAGAATAGTAGCTTATTATACTTAATAGATACTCAATGATTAGTTCTTAAATAGAAGTCTTAGTGTAAAGCAGGAAACATGAACTATTTTGAAAATGTTATATAAGTTCTGATATGTATAATATATATCTTTTTTCTGATTATATTTTTTCTATATTTCTACTTTATATCTATTTCTTGTACATATACTTTATATGTAGATATATTTTTTCTTATAAATTGGGCGATAAAGAGACTCTACTTCCTTGTCCAGGCAGTATTTGTAATTCAGACATTTCAATATTAGCCAAAGTAGACACAACCTCTCTTCCCTTTGAAAAATTTTTGTGATTATGACTTTGATTATAATTATGGTGACTTGCCTAAACACCTTGATGATAGCTTATTACTTTACCTGAGGAAATAGTCAATTTTTCCTAGGCAGTGAAAGCAAATGAGCTCAGTTTGTATTAAAATTTTTAATTAGTGAACTTGGACACATTTTTCTTATTCATTGTTGCACAGAGTGTGGGAGCAGTTACACACAGGTTATTTATGTCTTGGTGATCTGTGTTGTGTCTATTCTGTAAAATGCCGTTTGCCCTGCAATAGGTCTTCTACGACTACGACATCTTGTGTCAATGGCCGGTCAACTGCTGTGAAAATGAGGTGCAATCCTACTAAACCAGGAGCAGGAGTGATTTCAGTCCCCAGGTATTCTTACTTCTATGTGGTCAATTTCACATTTGTATTTATTGTGAGGCAGCAAAACTCTCCAGAATCCTACTATTTTAAGACATATCCTCTAGGAATGCAAAGCAGGAAGAATGGAAGAATATGTAGGTTTTTGTTGTGGGGATATGCTGAGCATCTCTTAAGAGGAATAGGTCTTCACCAATTTCAGTACTTCCCCGTCTCCTCAAGGCCGTATTCTCCTCCTGTTTGCCTAAGTGTCTGTTTGTCTTGAAAATTATTTAACTAATTATATAATTATTGTGTTTGTATCCTCGTATTAATTCATAGTGGTTAGTCCTAATTTCCCTAAGAGCTGCTTTATACATAACCTGTCTGATAGTACTTCATCAGTGAACTACCTGGGTGGTCTAGACGGAAGTAATCTACCCTCCCAATCATAGCTTCTTTCTCCGTAAGGGGTGGGGGGCACAGTAGATAATTTGTATGCTCCATTTCCAGCTCCTTCGTTTTCTGATGAATGGCGGCAGAATGACCGAGGTAGAGTCTCATTTGTAGAATACACAATACAATTCATTTAATTTACTGGCACTGAGAGAACAGCTCTCCACAGTCTCAGTCTGACTAATACAGTTTACCTGGATGGGAGCTCTAGAAGAGAACGAGCAATTTCATAGACTCAGAACTCTCAGCTTACCTAACTGTTTTCATGGCATGAGTGCCATTTAGATGGCTGCTGATTTTCATTCTTTGCACTTATTTATTGTTCCGTATATAGATTATTTCTAATCTCTGTGTGGGATTAAGGTACCTTTGGAGCACAGTTTGACTTGCAGGTTTTTCTCCATCAAGCTAGTGAAAATGTATATTTTAAAAAAGAAAATGGTTGACTTAATTTTGTTTTTGATAGTTTCACCATAACCCATGAGAGATTTGAAGCTCTTCTGCTCATGTCACCGCAGTATTGGAAATCAGTGGTCTTAAGTGTTATGGCAAATGCTTGATATCTTAAAAAGATTAGCAGTGCTAACAATATTGTGGGTTTACTTTGGGACATAAAGGTACACTAGTATTCATCTCGCACCAGCTGTGTTTCTCTGTCTGATGGATCTGGAAATTAATTTTTCTTTTCACCTTTTCAAGGTGAGAGAAGTATATGATGAAAGGAGAACACAATGAAAGGTAATAGGTGTCAAGTGAAAGAGACAGGGGGAGTCTGATGTCCAAGAGCCTCACGTGGCAGAGGGTCCTTGAGACAGCATCCAGGCTGGAGTCAGGGCAGCAAACCACACTTTGTTTAGGAGAAGGTGTGGTTAGAGTGGCTTTAATTATTCGGCAATATCCCACCATAGAGCTTTGAGTTCAGACGCTGCTTTTGTTTATGGTAGTACCTCTAAGGTCCTGTTTTTGGACTTAGCAACTAGCCACCCCGAATCTGGCCTCAGGAAGTCTCTCTGATGGCTTCCAAGCAGATAATATGACTGAAGGTCAGGTCTGTCCTTTATTTTTTTTGTTTAAAAATTTATTTGACAGAGAGAGAGAGAGATCATAAGTAGGCAGAGAGGCGGGCAGAGAGAGAGGAGGAAGCAGGCTCCCTGGTGAGCAGAGACCCCAATTCAGGGCTTGATCCCAGGACCCTGAGACGATGACCTGAGTTGAAGGCAGAGGCTTAACCCACTGAGCCACCCAGATGCCCCCAGGTCTGTCCTTTAAGAAAGTATCTCACTCTCCCAACGTGGGTTCTGATGTTTTAAGGTAATAATAATAATAAAAAAAGTCTCATGTTGTTAAATGATACTATTTAGAAACTTGGGGTTTTTTTGCCTTGTGAGAAGAGGAAAAGTTAAGTTTTTCCTTTGACCTCTAGCAGTTTTTTCTCTTCACAGAATTTAGTTGTCTTTGCCAGGGTTTCTCAAGATACTCTGTGGCAGAATACCTTGGGGTGTCTATTTTAAAAATCAATTTCTAGATCTTTCCTGAAACCAAAACAATCTCTTGAGTGTTGAGCATAGGAATATTTTTTAAAATACAAGGCAATTCTTAGGTGCCTGGCTGGTTCAGTTGGTAGAGCATATGACTCCTGATCTCAGGGTTGTGGGTTCAAGCCCCACGTTGGGGGTAGAGATTACTTTAAAATATTATTTAAAAAACAAGGCAATTCTGTGCAGATAAAAATTTTGGAACTACTGATCTTAATCCACATTTTGGTACTTTGGTGATTAGGCTTGCTTTTTTCTGAGATAAATCCTCAAACTTTGCTCTGCGTTTTAGTTTTCTGAAAAGCTCATTTAAAATGTCTTGGTCTATAGGGTAGTCCTTCACCCATATTTGGTAAAACTTTATATGTAATTATGATGCACATTGAGGTTTGAGGACCACTGCTCTAGGGAACAGCCGGAACCCCACAGCCTAATGAGCTAACCTTCTGTTCTTACTTGAATCAGTTCCCTGTGAAGGCACAAGGGGGAGCCCTGGCATCAGCATATGAAAAACAGCAGCTTGTTCTGAAAGAGAGTTTTTTTAGCTTTGGGGCTGAATAAAGATTTCCTACTAACAGTGAGGAAATGTTAACAGAGCCAGGTTTCTCCGGCTACTTTTGAAGAGGATTTACTTTGCAATTTGGGAGAGCTGGGGGTGGGGAGCTTTAAGATCTCCAGAAGAGGGAGGAAGGTGCTAACCGGGCACTTGGCTTGAAAAAAGTCTCACATGCTGTGACCAAAAAGTCTCAGAAGGCAGACTTTGGCAGTTTGGAAGGGATGCCACCCCCGGGAATTCTCCTGTCTTGGCCAACAATCTTGGCAAAGCAGGCAAAGGAGACTGGAGTAGTAGTGATGTTGGTTGGGGCTCTGAAGCTTGTGACCTAAGAAAATGCCATAAGACCCTTAGTCTTGGGAAAATGAGAAGGTCTTAACAGAGCGTGGGCAGGCAGGAGGAAAGGGACAATGTGTGTTCTCTGTATCTCGTAGGAAATTTAGAGGGAATAGCAAATTATCAGGGCCGCCTACTAACCTGCAGTTGGAAAACTGCATCCTGTCTGTGTTTGGTCTGGCAAATGCAGTTGGTTTCTAATTTCACAAAATGTCTGGGGGGGTGTGTGAGACATTTTAGATAAAAACTTAACAGCATGGTATCTGTGGTGGAAGAAATCTGAGAGCCAGAGTGAGTGGACTTTTGGGGATTTCCTGGTGGAGTTTGCATCTTGGCCAGCGAACAAATTTCTAACATATTAGAGTGCTGATAGCCCTAAATAGGTCGCCCTCCAGCCTCTGCCTAAGAAACTTTTCAAACCTCCAGTCATGATCCTAGGTTGTTAGGAAAATCGAAGATTCACCTTTCAATAGGAAAAATTTAGAACTAAATAAACATTGTGTCCTAAGTGTTCTTTCAAATGCATAAGAAATTTCTGTGAATGGAAAGGTTAAAAAAGCATTATTAGAAAGTGGGCAAAAGGAGTCATCTTCACTCTGATGAGAGACCTGCATCAGACGCATTTGCTTGACGCAGTAGGGAACACTGAGGACCCTGGGTATACAGCTGTGGTGGCACAGTCAAGACAGAAGGATGTCCTGGCTGTGTCGATAATTCTTTTCTTCCCGTCATGTGTTCATCTTGCCATTTTGTCCCTCCAGTTTCTCATAGGTAGAGATTTACAAAGAAGCGCACTAAGCCCAGAGGCAAATATCACATTTATCCGGGGATAACTCAATTGGTCTGCAAGTTATTGGTGCTTTGTTTAACATGAGTCATTCTTCCTCCAACGAGGTGGTCTTTAGTAATGATATGATTTAGAGGAAAATCATCATCCTCTCTTTCTCTCTGTCTCGATTTATGTAACTATATTTAACTGCTTGGAGAGTTTATGAATCAGTCTAAAATTGTTTTTGCCAAAACCTCCTTCAGAATCCAAATTCATCTTTATCATAAGGGTAGCCTTGGGCTCAGAGAGTCCAGCTAGTGAGTGGTTCCGGGCCAAATGGAGAGGGGCTACTGATCATTAAAAGGAAAGAAAAAAAAAAAAGAGTTTAGCTTCTGAGAATGTTGTATCTCACAAAACGGATGCTTCGGAGGTCTGTCGTGATAGCATTCACAGGCGGAACATGCCAGAGCTTTATTCCACAGGCTCTGATTTAGAATTTGCTCTGTCAAAGTTACCGGACCTGCAGGACACTTGTGTTTTCTTTGGTGTTTGGGAGAGGTCTCTTGCAGCCAAAAGTCTATCCATTTTAAGGGGGTAAGAGGCAAAGGATAATGATTGGTTAAGTGGGTTCTTTGTTTTCTTTTTTCCTCTGAACCACTTATGGACAGATAATAGATATCTAAATTGGTACAAGTTAAGTTTAAAAGGCAGTGGAATTTAAAACATAAAAGCCAAGTATGTTCTTAGAACAAGGAAAAGTGAGGAGGCATATAAAAGCTCTATGAGCATAAGTAAAAACCCATTATGATCAAGAAATGGAAAAATTGAATACAGAATTGTTAAAGTTATACAGTTCAAGCACTAATGAGTAATCATAGGACATGACATAAAAAGATTATAAAACAGTCAAAAAGTTTAAGGATCCATTTTGAAATAAGGATGATAAAACTCTGACAGGTTTTGCAGACCTGTAGATAAGAGGGTCTGGGGAGTGTTAGCTAATGTAGTTTGTATAGGTCTTGATCGGGTTCTGGCTTTTGGTAATTAACCTAGGAGAGAATCTGCAAAAAGGGAGGTTTTTGCAGGACACTGGTAGAATTTTAGATCCCTGGATCAAAGAGGTATGGATCAGAAATCTTATGTTCAAACTCAGTCATAAGTGGTTGATACTCTTCAGCCTCAGGGCAAAACTGTAGCAAGATCCAAAGCCATTTTATGGATCCCACACAGGAAGGCTCTCTGTCCACTGGCATTCTCACCTGAGAAAGGCTGAACTTCTCAGAAGCCAAAGCCAAGGGGTTACCAGCAGCTGGTTAGAGAGGATCACCCATGCCAGAGGATGCCAGTCTCTGAACTCCAAGATTGGGAAACCCCAGGAAACCCAGAAAAGCCTTGCACGAAAGAAGCTGAGTTAACAACCGTGCTCTGACACCAAATGAGAAAGTTTGAGGCACTTGAAACTATGGACTTTCCCCCGAGTCTCTTGAGACCGACTCCAGAAGGGTCAGAACCCTACTGACAATGTACCTTATTTGAATAAGGTTTAGGCAAAAACAAGATTACATTGTTTTATCAACTATCCCAACAATTAACAATTGATTAGGTATAGGGTTGTAGTAGTTCATAAGAAAATAAGATTATTGTCCATGAATTTTTAGTATGAACCAAGGAGATCCTGTCTTAGATAAGATGATTCATATAAAGGAAGACACTAATAACTCGTAGTTCTGTCCGCTTCCCCCCCAGAATATGTATCCCATTTTAGAATCCAAGATAGAACTTACTTAACTTAAAAAGAACTTACTTTAAAAAAGATTGATCGGAATTTGCACGTTACCAGTGCTATCCTGATGGGAAAGGCAAGCCCAGAAACAAAATAAGGAAACTGGAAAGTCTTCCTTATTTAAGAGTAAAACCATATTATGGTGCACCTGGTTTTCCTTGTCGATGGTGGTTTCTGTACCTAGAATTCATGGCCTATGGTGACAGGGGTGTGACCCTACAGGGGTCATCCTGTGGAATTCTAGTCTTCTGTGCTCCAACTGTCAGTGATTCACATACTGCTCTTCAAACACTTACTTGCTGGTTTCTATGGTGATCTTGTAGTAGACCAAAAATTTAAAAAGAGAAGCTCAGTTAGTGACACCTTTGAAAAGCCAGTGTGGGGAGGATGGAGATGATGGTGACCCAGGTCATCAAAGGGAAAGAGTTTCACATATTTGGCGATAAAGCATTTGTCTATCTTACTACACGCTTTTTTATTCTTAGTAGAAGAAAATCTTTTTGTGTTTTTTTTCTCTTGCATTTTTTTTTTCTATTTTCATTTTCCATGTAAGCACTATTGAAACGAGTACTGCTTCCTACACCCTTGTCACTTCATAGGGAAGGCCTGATTCAAACTGTGAAACTTGGGTTTATAACAAAGAATCAAATTTGGATGTTCCACATTTTAACTGATTCGTTGGGTTGAAAGAATTAAAGAATTGATTCTAAACTAAACTACTTTTAACCTAAGAGCAGATTTTAAGAAGTAAATTCTCCCAGGGAAAGGCAGTGAATCATTGTAGTATTTTGACACTTACTGGCAGCTCTGTAAGTTACATCAATGTCTTGATATTTTCCCCCTGGTTTCTGTAGTTCTACCAGTTATTGAGAAAGTGATGTGCATTGTTAATAGTCTTTTATATTTTGCAGTACTTGAAACTTTCCCAAATTGTTCTCTTATTTTGTCCTTTATAACCACCCTATGAAGGCAGTGAAACAGACATTTCGCTTCCGCTAAATTATAAATATGAAACAGTGCGGGGGGAGGGACTAAGTCACTGGTGGAAAAAAACACAAATCACTTGCAAGTCCAGCCAGAATTGTAACCTGAGTTTTCTCGCCAGAGGTTTTTGCAACTTTAATTAATTTTCCCCCTTTTCTTTATTTATTGAGGTTGTTTTTTTTTTTTTTCCTCAAACTTTACTGGACTTACTCTTTTATTTTCCCAAGATAAACAGCCCTCACTGCCCTTGAAAATGTGCCTGTGTTGGAAAGATAAAATAATTTGGGAAGGAGAGACTTCAGCAGGAAATTATATTGGGTAATTTATGCTAAATGATCAAAAAGTTAATTACCTTTAAAATTTCAATTCATTGTTGTACAAATAATTGTGTTCTTGAAGAACTTTTCTTTCTTTCTTTTTTTAAAGATTTTATTTATTTATTTGACAGAGATCACTAGTAGGCAGAATGGCAGGCAGAGATGGGTGGGGGCAAGCAGGCTCCCCACTGAGCAGAGAGCCCAGAACCCTGGGATCATGACCTGAGCCGAACGCAGAGGCTTTAAACCACTGAGCCACCCAGGTGCCCCTTGAAGAACTTTTCTAATTGGTTGCCCGATTTTTTTTTTCAAAAATGCAGTTTTGAGTTGGTTTTCCTGATGTGGAAGGTGGGAAATAGTGATAATTTTTTTAAGTGGCATGATTTTCATCTATTGTACTTACCTTTTAAAAAAAAGACCTTTTTGTTTCTTGGTCTGAAAATACTTTACTGGCTTTTACAAACAGAAATCAAGGGAGGTAACAGTTAAGCTACTTTTCCTAAGAGCTCCCATTCATCGCTGTTCTCAGCTTGAAAGTACTGGACCTCTGTTTCTGAGTACATTACACAGAGCTGTGCTTTTCTTTACATCCCACGCATGATTACTTCGTTTATAGCATACTACAGGCATTTCGACATTTAGAAGGATAATCCTATAAAAATGTAGACAATTTTTAGGCAGGCAGATTTTTCTTTCAGTGTTCATATTGTAGGATGACCTTAGAATATATACTAAGCGTATGAAATTTTACTTTGTTGCTAGACCAAAAATTACAGTTTTAGACTGCATATCATCACAAAGTCATCTGAAGTTAAAAGTTAAGAAGGGGTGTGTTGGGGTTCTCCCTTTTATTGTGTGTCTGTCTTTTTGCCCCACATGTGTTAGGACACCTGTACGTGGCAGCAGCCCAGGTGTGAAGGTTTCCAGGGCAGTGCTGTGTATGTACACAGCTTAAGGGAAGTCTACTACACATATGAACGGAACACGATTCCCCTAGCTTTAACGAAGTCATGAACAAAACAGCCATTCCCTCCAGAACCTTTCCACATAACTTCTTGCTTCAATGAATAAGGATCCTGTACACAGTAATAGCAGTTTAATTTTTGAGCCATGCTGTGTTTATCTGTCCCTAAAATGAAAGAAGCAAGTTGACATAATAGACCCACGTACCACAGAGCAGTTTCAAAAGGTCTCTATTCAGGCCCCACCTGGTGGTTGGTTCTCTGCCATCTTGCACCTGTGTGTAAGCCCCATCTGTGGTCACTGAGTGGTGATGGTCATTACCTCTTGAAAGACGTCTTCGTCAGACTGAAGAAACCCAGGTTTGCACAGTCATTTGCACCACTGAGATTTGTGTGGACCTGATAGTTGTTTTGTTTGCTTTTATACTTTAGGCAATTTTGTTTTCAACAATCACCCCCACCCCCCTGCTGCCCTCACCCTCTAGACCACGATCCTGTTCATTATTCTGTTCTTGGAGCCCGTTGCCTAAGTACGTCACCTTTTTTTTTTTTTTTTAAGATTTTGTTTATTTATTTGACAGACAGAGATCACAAGTAGACAGATAGGCAGGCAGAGAGAGAGAGGGAAGCAGGCTCCTCGCTGAGCAGAGAGCCCGATGCAATGCGGGGCTCAATCCCAGGACCCTGAGATCATGACCTGAGCTGAAGGCGGAGGCTTTAACCCATTGAGCCACCAGGCACCCCCTAAGTACGTCACCTTAAAAAGAAATGACACCTCCCTTCTCCCACCTGGTTCCTGCCTGTATGCCTAGCGCCCACTCACTGCCCTGCTCCTGAAGCTGTTATGGTAATGACCAGCTTGTACTTCCCTTACAATTCATCTACCACTTCATCCCTCAGCAGGCATCCCCTTGCTTTCTTCTTTTCTCTTCTGGCTAAATCTTACTGAATATTCGATATTTGTTCTAGGCACCCCTTCCATCAAGAGGTCTTCCCAGAGCTCTTTTTATTTTGTTGTCATTATCTCTATCTGTCCTCTACATCTTTAAAAAATAACTTTATAGGGATACGATTCTCATGCTATACACTTGGCTCACTTAAAACAGATAAGCCACTGGTTATTAGCATATTCATAGATAGGTACAACCATCAGCACAGTCATTTTTGAGAGCTCTTCTTCACCTTAAAAAGAAACCTTATACACTTTAGCTATCACCTTAGCTCTCTTTCAAGCCCCAAGCAACCACTAACCTACTGTTTTTATAGATTATCTTATTCTGAAGTTTCATAAAAATAACATCATTTATTTTTTTTAAAGATGTTATTTATTTGACAGAGAAAAAGAGAGCACAAGTAGGGGGAATTGCAAGCAGAGGGAGAGGGAGACGCAGGTTCCCAGCTCAGTAGGGAGTTCGATCCCAGGACCCTGAGATCATGACCTGAGCTGAAGGAACACACTTGAATGACTGAGACACCAGGTAGCCCAATAACATCATTTAATATATAGAGTCTATATTCTATATATTAGAAGAAGAATCTATATATTAGTAGAAGATTTATGTTTTATGTATTAGTAGAAGATTGGCTTCTTCTACTTAGTGTATTTTCAAGGTTCATCCAATTTGGGGCATGGATCAGTTCTGCGTTCCTTTTTATGACCTAGTAATACTCCACCGAATGTTATAGCACATAGTGTTTGTCTGTTCATCTGCTCGTGGACCTTGGAGTTGTCTCTACCTTTTGGCTCTCATGAGTAATGCTCATATGGACATTCATGTACAAGTTTGTGTGTGGACATATGTTTTTCTTTCTCTTGGATTTTTATCTAGAAATGGAATTACTGGATCACGTGGCAACTCATTTTGATGATCTGAGGAACTACCAGCTTGTTGCAAAACAGCTACACCTTTTCCATTCCCATTAGCAATGTTTGAAGTTTCTAATTTCTTGACATGTTTGCAACTCTTGTGATCATCTGTCTTTTTGTTCTAGCCATCCTAGTAGGTATGAAGTTGTGGCTTCATTTCCTTTTAGTTTCTTGTTTGTGGATTTTCTCAGCACCCATACATTGCTTTCCAGTATGCAGTGAGCACTTAAATGTTTCTTGGACTTGATTGAATGTGTAAGAACTGTCACTTCATTTTTTTATTTCAGCAAGTGCCCAGCAGGCACCTGTGATGGATGCTCATTCTATTTTCTGTGGGAGAGTGCTGAAGCTTGCCCTCTGTGCACAGAGCATGACTTCCATGAGATTGAGGGAGCCTGTAAGAGAGGAGTTCAGGTAAGGGACAAATCCATCTAAGCAGAGCTGTGTGATTGAAGAGAAATTGATGAGTTTGGTGTCACTTAAATCACAGAAACTCAGGTTCAAAACTGTGGCTAAAGCTTATAGTTAAATTAATGTCTCATTGGTATGCATTTAAAATCAAGTTTTGTTACCACCAATAAGGTTACCACCATCAGTGTGTTACACTGCATGTATTTCTCTTGTCATTAATTTTTTTCAAAACCATGATTTTTAGTTACTGACAGATACTCTATTATATATATTTTGGGATTTAATAAATCCCCTGTTGGACATTTGAGAGAAAATTTGAGAAGTCTTTTTGTAAACAACTGTAATGAACATCTCTGTTGGGAATGTGATGATTTCCTTAGATTTTATTATGAGAAAAAGATTAATTGGATCTAAGGAGATGGACATTTTTAAGGTTCTTGATACATATTACTAACATGCTTTGGTGGTATCCTTTTGCACTTCTGGGAGTAGTGTCTGAGAGTGCTTAGGTCACTGTACAAGCTTTGAGGAGTGCTGTGTGAAAAAACACAAACTTTTCTTCCTTCAAGATGTCTTCCTATTTGAACCTCTCTGAATTCTATTGAAACGACAAGAAAAAAAACACAAATGATAATAAATCATTGCTAGTGGTGGTAACCATAGTGGGGAATTGGCATCAGAGAATCAGATTCTGATGGGATTTTGGAAAACTGGGATAAAGTTGGAGTAGGCCTGACGTTCAGGTCTCCTGGAGTGGGAAGCGTGCTGGAAGGCTGGTGGCAAGAAGGGATCAGAGAGGGACTGCTGTTCTTTCCAGGAAAGTCTGGAGGAGCATATTATTGGCAGGTCAGAGGGCAGGAGTACAAGAAGAAGTCAGAATGCCCTACCTCATCTCCTGCATTCAGAGTATTAGCAGTAGCCTTTACGTCTGGGGGAAAAACACAGAGAGCCGTTCTCTACATAGGGATTTTTCAAGCTTTACATAGGGATTTTTCAAACTTTAATGACATTGAACCCATAGTAAGAAATACATTGCACAGAAAAGCTAATACACAGACTCCAACTCAGACACATAGCAATATGCCTAAAAATGAAGTGAAATTTCCTGGAACAATACTTATTTTTGTATTTGATAATAAAGTCTAAGCATAAATGTAATATAAAATGTGTTGTCATGAAATAATTGAATATAAAACAGGAAAGGTTCCCAATCTACAACAAGTAAAGAAAAATTAGGAATGTTTTATTTCATTCATCAAGTGTGCATCTTGTGCACAGATGAGCCAGTTTCTTGTTAACATTCTTAGTGGATCAAGGATGAAAAATCTTGGCTTACCAAAAAATGGTTTCTTTTTAGTCCTCATAATACTAATGATACACATTTTATGTCTCACAGTGGAAAGTCTTCTTGATCGTTTCTCTAAAATGATGATACCCTTATCATTTTTTAAGGAATAAATGAGAAACGGATGCATTCCCTTCTTTGACCATCATTTTAACTCAAGGGCTTTGAAAAGTCAGGTGATCTTTTATGTAAACATTCTCTAATATTCACCATTTCTCTTCTGGAAAGCAATGATAAGAACATTAAGACCACGGGGTTGCAATAATCTCTTTAATTTAACTCTCTTTATTGCCAAAATTCTGTTCAGCATGTTTTAAGAATGTTTGGAACAGATAGTTAGAAGGTGATTCTTTTTAAATATTTGCTTTTGCCTTCAAGATATCTTTAGGAACACTTTGCTGTGTTTGTCATATTGAAATACATAATTTCCCTCCTATAGTTCTAAATTTATCTTGAGAAATAAGTAAGTCAACATTTCTGTTATACTTAGATATGGATTTTGAAAATATTTGCCAAATGAGATCAGGCTTCAGTTAGAAAAATAGAAATGTTATTCCGAAGCTCATGTACCTTGCTTAGTGTGCTCAGTCGCAACAGCAAAACAAATGGGTACGACCCGGTAAGTGAGTGTTTATGTCCAGCCTCTGAATAAAAGATTTCAAAAAGTCTGCTCTTTTTAAATTTTTTTTATTTTTTTATTTTTTTTAAAGATTTTTATTTAATTATTTGACAGACAAAGATCACAAGTAGGCAGAGAGGCAGGCAGGGGGTGGGGGCGAAGCAGGATCCCTGCCCAGCAGGGAGCCCGATGTGAGGCTCGATCCCAGGACCCTGAGATCATGACTTGAGCTGAAGGCAGAGGCTTTAACCCACTGAGCTACCCAGGTGCCCCCAAAAGTCTGCTGTTTAGTGAGTTTTATGTTGCACAAATGACAGCTTTCACTGTTTTCCATCACAGTAGACCCTCCCCCCTTTTCCCCTGGGGGATATGTGCCAAGACGCCCAGTGAATGAATGCCTGAAACCACAGATAGTCCCGAGGACTACGTATACTTTGTTTTTCCTTTTACGTACGTATACACGTACCTAGGATGAAGTTTAATGTCTAAATCAGGCACAGTAAGAGATAAACAACTGATAATAAAAGAGAACAATTATAACAATATACAGTAATAAAAGTTATGTGAATGTGCTCTTTCTCTCAAAATATCTTCTTGTCCTGCGCTCACCCTCATGATGACGTGAGATGGTGAAATGCTGTGCGATGAGATCCAGTGAGGGCAGTGATGTAGGCACGTGACAGAGCATGAGGCTGCTGTGGACTTTCTGATGATAAATCAGAAAGATCATGTGCTTCCTACCTGAACCCACAGAAAGTCAAACTGCAGATAAGGGGGGGACTGCAGTAGGTTCAGGAACAAGGGTAGATTTTTTTTGGATGCCCGAAGCCTCATGGGAGAGAAAAATACAGTGATTGCAAAATATCGCTAATGTGTATTATTTAATTTTTTAACAATTTCCCTGTGTTTCCTGCTCTATACTCTATACAGGTTTTCTCTCTGTCTTGACTAAGAGTATATTTTCCCAATTCTGTAAATGTATCTAATCCAGGTGTGTATGAAGTTAAGTTTACACATTACAACAAGTCCTCCACAGAGAGGTTTGTAAACTAAGAGAGTGGCACAACTTGTGGGGAAAGTGTTCTTATCAACTTGGAACTTAGAAATCTATACCAGGTTCTCAGTGTGTGTAGTAAGCATTACTTCTAAATGTCACCCAGTCATGCAGATTTGAAGAGATACTGTGTTATCACTGAGAGGGATATTTTTAAGTTTATCATCAAGTTTATCTCACCCTGTTTGCAAAATATCCCAGCATGCTGGAAGAAGACAATTTTCAGCTGCAGAGTCAGCCATTTTCTCCTTTGCTAATGACGTGCGACTGGATGAAGCAATAAGGCATTCTAATTAATAATTAGGGAATGACTGAGAAATTTGGTCAATAGCTTGCTCTTTTTTTTTTCCCTGAACAATTTGGGAGCTTATGGAAAAGTTAAGTACTCTGAGTTTACAAGTACCTTTTTAATCCAAAGTTTTAACATTTTGTTTATGACTGCCATTAGACATTAGAGCTTTGCCAATTTTACCGCTATTGCACACTTGATAAAACTATGTAATGTATTGCACAGTCTTTTTTTTTTTTTTAAGATTTTATTTATTTACTTGACAGAGGGAGAAACAGCAAGAGAGGGAATACAGGCAGGGGAACTGGGAGAAGGAGAAGCAGGCTTCCTGCTGAGCAGGGTGCTGGGCTCGATCCCAGGAATCTGGGATCAGGACTTGAGCCGAAGACAGACAGACGCTTAACAGACTGAGCCACCCAGGTGCCCCTGCAGGGTCTTTTTTTTTGTTAGAATGCGCTTCACATGAAGCCAACATGTGCTGACTAGAGTTAACGTTTTTCTCTCTGTTGTCCTTGTTTACACTTAGAGATGTAGCATTTGTATTTGAACATGCCCCTCAATTCTCATCTCATTCTTATAAAAATAATGTGACCCATTTTAAAAGTGTTTTTTACATTAAATTTAATGAAAATGTTAGAGTTGTCATGCAGTAAAAAAATTTTAATTACTAATGACTTTTCTAAAAAACCTGAGAATTCTTATCCAAAACTTGGTTGAAACTTTTCCTTAAAGTAAATACTATTCTCCTGTACTTCATGTTTAATTATAGAAATATGTGTGCTTGTACAGGAAAATTACACATTAGGGTGTTATTCTTTTGTTAGGATATCATTATTATTATTATTTTAAACATTTTATTTATTTATTTGACAGAAAGAGAGCAAGCACAAGCAGGGGGAGAGGCAGGCAGAGGGAGAGGGAGAAGCAGTCTCCCAGCTGATCAAGTAGCCCAACGCAGGACTCAATCCCAGGACCCCAGGATCATAACGGAGCCAAAGCAGATGCTTAACTGACTTGAGCCACACAGGCAACCCCTGTTAGGATATTATTAAAGTGACCATCAGACACTAGAAAATTTAATTAGATACAATGATCAAAAAATTGAGTCTTCCATGTCCTTTAATGTCCCTGGATATAATCATCACAAAAATTACTACTGGTCATTATATTTGTTGAACTATAAAAGCATGCACCGTCCTTTAATTTTTTTTTTAATTTTTAAAGATTTTATTTATTTATTTGACAGACAGAGATCACAAGTAGTCAGAGAGGCAGGCAGAGAGAGAGGAGGAAGCAGGCTCCCCGTCGAGCAGAGAGACCAACACGGGGCTCGATCCCAGGACTCCGGGACCACGACCCGTGCCAAAGGCAGAGGCCCCAACCCACTGAGCCACCCAGCCACCACCAGTCCTTTAATTTTTGTTTCTGGTTAGTGTTATTTGATTTATTTATCTGAAAAAAAAATCATTAAAATTGGGGCACCTGGATGGCTCAGTGGGTTAAGCCTCTGCCTTCGGCTCAGGTCATGATCTCAGGGTCCTGGGCTCTCTGCTCAGCGGGGAGCTGGCTTCCCTACCCCCCTCTCTCTGCCTGCCTTTCTGCCTACTTGTGAGCTCTCTCTTTCCATCGAATAAATAAATTCTTTAAAAAATCATTAATATTCAGTATATTGATTTTATTATTCCCTATTTAGTTGCAACTTGCAGTTCGGAAAAACATTGTTCTAACAACACTGAATCATCTGGTTTGGGAGGATAAAAATAAGGACCTACTGTGGGCAGTAATGACCCAGAATAATGTGGGGAAAATAAGGGTGCAGTCTATGTGCCTGCCCCCCTGCCTCTTACCCAAGCCTGCTCATCATGGTGTGCCTGTGTGTCCTGGGTCCAGAGTTTGCTCTTCTTCTCAGGGGAGATGCTTGGTGGGGGAAATGGACCTACAGCATGGGTGGGTGATACCTATTCCCCTTAACTATATTAAACAACCTAAGCTTTCAATTAAAAACATGACTAAGAAGTCAGGAATCGGGCACCTGAGTGGCTCAGATGGTTGGGCGTCTGCCTTTGGCTTTGGTCATGATCCTAAAGGTCCTGGGATTGAGCCCCACATCAGGCTCCCTGCTTGGCAAAGAGTCTGCTTCTACCTCTTTTTCTCCCCACTGCTCGCCCTGCTTGTGCTCTCTTACTCTCTCTGTCAAATAAATAAATAAAATCTTAAAAAAAAAAAAAGTCAGGGATCATAAGAAATTTGAGCAAACAAGCTCAAATGGTACGTCCAGACATACCTTTTTATTCAACCTCCTCAGATGGACCAAGCCTCGTGATCTAGCAATTCATGTTTTTTATTTGGTTTTGTTGTGTTTTTGTTTGTTATTCCCTTTTTCATTCTCTTCTCTATCTCTTTCTTCTCTTTCTGGAGCTTCTTCTGTTAGATGCATGCCAAGAAATCCTCTATGTGTACTATGAATAAGGGGCAGAACCCTTCTCCTTCTGAATCTCATTTCACATGTCATCTATGTGTGTGTGTGTTTTTAAAGGAAACCTTGTATGTATGGAATGAACCTAAATGGTGCATTAAAGGAGTTTCTTTGCCTGAGAAAAAGTTGTCAACCTGCGAAACAGTTGACTTCTGGCTGAAAGTGGGAGCAGGTGTGGGAGCATTCACCGCGGTTTTGCTGGTGGCTCTAACTTGCTACTTCTGGAAAAAGAATCAGAAGTAAGTAACTTCATTGGAGTGACCATGTAAGAACTGAAGGATCTCTTTTGTTGTGAAAATGTTAGACCTAATTGTTGTTACATCCAATAGTTTTTCTCAGAAAGATAAGAAACTGCTCCTATGAAGGAGTTACAGGAAAGACCTTTAAGAAAGGGAACAGGAATGATCATTATTCTGCTAATAGATGATAGAACATTAGAGGTGATTGGATTAGACCTATTTGTTACAAAATAGAGAAAAATGGAGGCTCTGGGTTATTCAAGTAAATGGGAGCAGAGCTGAGATGAGAGGTCAGGTTTTCTCTCTGCCTGTATTTTTCTTTTCATGACAATGTTGTGTCTTCTTGCCCTGATGTTTCTTTTTCAGTTTCTTGTGAGACAACTAAGTATGTAGGCAAATGCAATCTGTATTTACTCCAGAACTTCAGGAATCTAGGGTTGAATATTGAGCCTATTTCCTGAATATATATTGATCTGTTATGAGATTTGACTCTTCTAAAATGATTATATATCAGCGGGGCTCTGAAAGTTCTGTATTGTCGTATCACAAGGCCATTATAATATCCAAGGTGGTGAATTGAAAGGAATGAGGTATGTACAGAAACAAGAAAGACCAGATCACTGACCTCAGTGGTATTCTTATTCTTATGAACTAAACTTTGAAAAATCATATAGTGCCCAAGCTTCCAAATATTGATATATTAAGAAAACGCATTCAGACTTCACGGTTTCTCTTCGTTTTTAAAAAGTTCTTCATAATTGAAGAATTTAATCAATGTACAATAATTGATAGAGCTAACTATACTGCCATGATTCTCTGAAATCCTGGAAGAGATTTGTGTGTCGATGGTAGATAAATGGGAGCTCATAGTGCTTTGGCTATAAGTAGAGACATTGCTTAGTAGAGTAACTTTACCACAAGAGCATTTAACAAGGTGGTGTATGACCACCTAAATTGGTATTAATTTATATTAAACAGCCACTTTATTTGTTTACTATCACTTAGACTGGAGTACAAATATTCCAAATTGGTGATGACAACTAACTCAAAAGAATGTGAACTCCCAGCGGCAGACAGTTGTGCTATCATGGAAGGAGAAGACAATGAGGAAGAAGTTGTCTATTCCAATAAACAGTCACTACTGGGAAAACTTAAATCCTTGGCAACAAAGGTGAGAGCAAAATTTTAACCTGTATTACTGTTCATTTACTAACAAAGGGCCATCGTAACCTAAGAGTAACTTTCATACAACCCTGTCATTAAGTCTTTCTCTCCATGGATACGTATCCAACAGAAATATTCTTAGAAGTACACAAGGATATTGGGGAGTGAGCACTGTGTATTGTGTAATACTGATGAATCACAGACCTGTACCCCTGAAACAAATAATACATTATATGTTAATAATAAAAAAAAGAAATTACACAAGGATATACATTTAAGATTATTCACTGCAGCATTGTTCCCCCTCCCTGTTAACAGAGTCAAAACAACCTTATACACCATGAAAAAGGAGTTGATAAGAAATTTCCACGTAGCAAAATGATGGAGTCCTGTGTGACTAGGCAACTAGTAGAAATGGACATATGTATGTCCATAGGTCCAAAAGAAATAAAAACAACACAAAGACTATTAATATCTATTAAAGATCAATTTATGTTAGTCTTTGCAAAGCAGACTATAAACAATGGCTGCTTTGGGGGAGGCTTGAACCAATGGGAGTCTTTAGTTTTTGAAGTGGTACATTTTTATGATATTTGAATTTTCACAAAGATAATGTGTTGTTTTCTAATATTAAAAATTTTAGGTTAAAAAAGATCTTATCCACTCATTCTTTTTGTTTGTTTGTTTTATTTTGTATTTTATTTTGTAACATGTTTTTTTCACATAGAAAAAGTAAAATTATATAAACTGTTGAGGTATTAAAGGTACCTTATCAGATGCCATCATGTTTGTCAGCTTTGAAATGATTACAGTATCCAAACAGATTAACACTAAGCCTAAAATATTATTTGTAAACATATTTTGTTGACATTCTTTACCATTGACTTAAAAGATGAGAAATTACCAGTGTACCTACACGTAGCTTTAAAAATAGAATGAAACAGAAGAAAAGATGTGTTTCAAATGATTTTCAGCAGGCAGGACAGGTAACAAAAGATTACATTTATTGAGAATGTTTCAGTCACTATTTCCTTTTACTCTCCTAATTTAAGCACATAAATATATTATAAAGGATGATTTAAAACAAAATGAATAAGCCATATTCCCCTTCTAATGGTGATTTAACTTTGTTAGTTTTCACTGTCGTACTTTAGGAAGGAGGTTTTTGCTACGGAATAACAAATGTATAGCTAGTGTTAAGAACTGAAGATTTCACCCAACTTGCAAGGTAACAAATGAGCCTGCCACTCTTTCATGGACAATTTAGGAGGCACAAGACTCCTGGTCAGAGAAAAAGCACTCAATGCTCCCAGTGGACACACTAGCCAGGGTATTAGCATTCGTACCAGTTCCCCAAACCCCACTTTGCTCGGGGCTCTGTGAACAGGAACAGATGACACACACACACAGTGGCTTGCATTACAGGAAAGGAACTCTAGGCTTTGGGAACCCGACTTTTTTTGAACAGGCAGTAATCATGCCAGTCCTTTTCTGCAAAGAGAGATATTACTGTTACTATACTAGACAGTGTGTGTGTTCATTGCTTCAGAGGGAGACTCCATTTCCTGCCAGATGCTCTGGAAAAATATAATTCCTTGAGCTTCTAAGGCTGCTTTTTATACAAAGATCCTTAAAAAGATGGTCTTAAACAGAGGGAAATCACTGTCCTGCTCATAAGATCTACAGAAATGCGAAGAACCATGGAGAATTATCTCCCCAACATATCCAAACCTTATTTCTACACCATCTTGGCTCCTGGTAAATTTTCCCGTCAGTACAGCATGCTATCCACCATTCTGTTTAATCTGTTTGACTGAGGCTGGGCTCAAATCTGGCCAATTTACTGCATACATCATTTAAATAAAGCTACTACCATTAGGACACCAAACAGCAAGATGAGATGAACCTGAATTATTGACTTCAAATATAGCCCCAGGCTCCCAGATCCAACTAGCTGAATAAATCCCATAAACCATGAGGGTCCACCTTAGAAAGCTAGGCAGCTTTAAGTCCCAGTATTGACCTTTCTACTCAGCCTGAGACCTTTGCATTGGCACTGAGATCTTTCCTCTGTAAGATTCATGTGGAAGAGGGTCAAAGGTATTTTCAAAAATTTGCAGAACCCAACATATCTCCCACTTTTGTATACATGGCCATGGTACGGGAACTTAGTGAACAGGATGATGGCATTCCAGATACCCAAAAGAGATGAGTGACTGCACAGACTTCCTCTTGACCCTTAAGGGTAAAGTTGAGGGCAATTACATCGTCCATAATAATGTTTGAACCATGAGTTGATGTTGACCTAAATGTCATCAGAGGCTGAGGTGGTGGCATGTCATATTCTAGCTAACTCAGAGACAATTTTTTTACCATCTTTTCTGATTAAATAACTGCCTATAGGATGAATAGGAATAACACCAGTTACCCCTTCAGAGATCTCTGAATAACCAACAGTAGTCTCATTTTGAAAATCCTTGCAGTTGTCTAAATGTTGATGATATGTTGGGGCTATTTTCATGAATAGTTGAATTATGACCACTTATGACCCCTCGTAGGGTACAAGTTAATGACTGGCTTCTACATAAGAAGTACAGTCCTGAAGGTGCACAGGGTGCCTTTGGAAAGAAAGTCTTACGGTTGTTGGAAACACCAAGTGGGACCTGCATTAGTTAGGCAATACAGTCTGATGGTGCCTGCAGCCCCCTTGCTGACTCATAAACCTTAGGGTTCCCAATTCACTTCACATACTTGTGTCTCTTCTTTGTTTTTGAGAGGCTGCTTAAGGACTGTCAGTCCAACTTCTCTTGTTGGTCTATGCTGGAAACTGGGTGGTGCTTGTTCACTCCATGGAAGGACTGAGCAGAGGCAATGGGAATGTTGGTGTTGATGTTGTTATTCGGGGCAGAAGGTGGGGTCATTTCCTGCTGTTTCTTATAGATTTCTCAGTAAGTTTAAAGGGACTTCTATCTGATGGGTATGGTGGACCTAGTCTTTGACTAAGTTTAAAGTACTTGCAGCAGTTTGAGAAAGGAACACTAATGCACTATCCTTCATAGAAGGTGACAGGGAGACTCTGAAAAACAAATTATCATTAATATCCCTCCATCCTTCATACCTCTCAGGGTCTAAGGTATCTGCCCTCTAGGAACCTCATTATCAGACTGCATTGTTGATCTTCTTCCACTGCCAAAAATAAGTTTTCCCCATTTTAGCTAAAACTTCATCTTATTTCTCCTTATCCCTTATTGGAACCTAGACCTCTGCTCCAGAACATTCAAGTGCAAGAGGGACAAAGGCATTTAAAAAAACTTATGATGGAGACAAAATAGGTCTTCTACCTTTGTATGGGCTATGGTAGGAGGTCTTGATGAGCTGTATAGTCAACCAAGTGGTTGTTATCCTTTTGATCTAGAATCATGACATTTCAATAAAACAATATAGGTGGCTACATTAGGATTGTATTTGAATCTCCTAGACTACCTTCTGGCAGAGCTACCACCTGACATTCTAGGGGTTGCTTAAGTAAAAAGGACACCTCATGTCCATGAGTGGACAGGGTAGAATCCTGGGTTTTAAATAAATGTATATAACCTTATATAGGTGCATATAACCTTAACCATTTTACCGATAATTATACATGACACAGCCAAGAGGAGATGATCCCTTTCTGGGGACAAGCATGTTTAGTAACTGAACGACCTTATTAACTATGTGGACCAGGAGGAAGTAGCGGGGAGATAGAGTCAGAAATGTTTTTGATTCAATTTTGAAAAGGCCCTGGTTGTGCTCAATGATACCTTTCAACAGTATGAGGTGTGAAGATCCATTGAACACCTCTATGGTCAGCCCATTTTCAGGTAACTTTTGTGATATAAAGGGCACCATTGTTAGACTGAAAACAATCCTTAAAGTCACAAACACTAAAAAGGTTTTTTTCAAGGGCCATAATGGTGTGGCTCGAGTTAGCAGATCTGACTGGAACAGCAACCCCATAATGTGAACAGGTGTCAAAAGAGGTAAGGCGCAACTGATACCCCAAAGAAGTGATCAGAGGTGTGACCATCACTTTGCTATGGAAAAACTTGTCAGTTCTGGGCCTGAATGCTGAGTCTTGCATGCTTGGTAAACTCTGCATCTGCAAAAGAGTCCTTTACTTTATGCCCAGTGTGGGATGGCAGATTCATTGCTATGGCAGGCAGAATGATGGGTCCATGCAGCATTGTGGCAGTCTGTCCTATGCAATCTCTATTGTGTGCTTAATTCTCTTTGATCTTTTCAGATCACGAGTCCTTAATGCAAGTATCTACATGAGTGACCCAGATGATTTGATCAGCTGAGATTTGTTTCTGGAATTTGTTTGCACAGAGAGGAGTAAATTTGATGTGTTAAGTCTATAGTTTTCCAAGTGGCAGACCAAATAGTGTATTGACGCTTGGTGATAGCTCAAGAGTTAGTGGTGATCTAATAAGATTTATCAAGATAAGTACTGGCCACAGCTATGAGAATGGCTGTGGGTTCAGCCCACTAGACCAAACAATTTTGTAGGTTTTCAGTTATGTATACTTGGTGCTGAGATAGGACAGCTATAGCTGCTGGTGGACACCCACTGGGTTTCCACTTTTGCAAACCATCAGTGAATCAGGCCCAGACATAAGGTAGAACGTAGATAAACCAAGGACTAGAGCCAGTGGGTTCATTTTTGGAGGTAGAGTAAGAGACAGAGTTGCCCCAAAGGGGTATGCTGCCAGTTTTTCATGTGAGATTGAGATGCTGCTGGGCAGGACCAGCCATATTCTTGAATATACCACTTATATTTGATAAGTGAGACTTATTAGGTCTTTGCCACCTTGCTGACCCACCGTCAGTGTGACCATCGGGCTATAGACTCACAAGATGTGCACAGGAATGGCTTTCAGTTTTGACAAAAACTCAGTTATAAGCTCATAGCTGCTTTTCAGAAGGGCTATACCTGGTAGCCATATCAAGGTAATGAATCTAAAATCC